AGATAGCTCTTAGATTTGGCTCACCCACTAAAAACTATTCAAAAGTTTTGAAAAAGTGCCACCTCATAAATATTGGCCCAAATTCAAAATACTCTACACGTTTATTCATTAAACATTTTTTTACTCCATCCATCGATGCATTAATGACCGCCGTAACAGTGCGTGTGAAAATTGCAATCTTTATGAAGCTTAAGTTGGGATACCCATAGCTATTCAATAGAAAACGGTACCAAAAGTAAGACAGCTTGTTGAATCTAACCCTTCGTGTAAGTTTTTTCTTCACTGTAATTTTCTTCCCAACGAGACTCAAATATATGCCTATTTCGGTGCGCTGCCTTTTTTGGCTACATTGCTCTTTGGGCATATTTTGTATGAACAGTGAAACCTGAGACCTATATAGAAGCGGATAAGCGATGGCGATCGGAAGCGCAGATTAATATAGAACTCTCTCCGGACGTGCTTTGCCCTCGTTTTTTAGTTGTCCCACGAAACTTTCTGCTTACGGATTATCTTTTTGGATTTTTCAGATCTACCGCAAGCCTCCAGGCGTTTCCGAGCATTCTGACAAAAATTTTGGTACATGTTTATTTGAACCATCTACAACCACAATTGCGATTATTGACGGGCTACCCAGAGGCACCTCTCAGAAAACAAATAGAAAAGCTAAAGTGATGGTTTGAAGTTGATTGCCCTTGGGATGCAATTTTTGTCTTCTGTAATATGAAAGTCTTACAGACTCATACACCACTCAACGAAAGGATTCTAAATTGATTTTTGAGTGTGGTGAAAATTAATTAAAAGCGTGTTTAATTTGAGAGTGGCAATTAAATGTTTTTAAGACCATGTCATGTATTTGTCAAATGACGATTAGAAAATAAATAAATCAGCCTAATTGATAAAAAAGAGTTTTGTTTACATATCAGTAATGGTCGCACGCTGGGATTTACAGCGACCAGCGCTACGCTCAGTTTTTCCATTGATCGGCCTTACTATTTAAGCTTGAAAAATATAAAGATTTCCAAAAATCCTGATATGATTATTGGCACCTCCAAAGATTCTTGGAATGCAGCTATCAATAGATTCGAATCAGCATGCGAACGGATCTCTTTAAATGGTCATCTATTTATCTGTGAACATTATGAGGAATTTACTGTTTTTTGAAAATTCTAAACAGCTTTTTGTATTGCTAATAAATATTATAAAATACAATGATAACTGTGTTTAGTTTTTAGGGTTTCTGGTTACCCCTAAATTTAAAATATGAGCAAATACCGGAGTATCATTGGTTGATGTTTTCAGTTCCAAAATAGAACCTCTACACTGTGTTGATAGAGGTACTGAGCGAGATACTGTACGATCAAATATTACCAGAAACTATCACAGAAATACTCACTTCCTTCTAATGGGAACTGAGAGAGATGCAACAAAAGCTTCCTCCAAACTTGAATTGAAACCCCAAAAGTTTAAGATTATTTTAAATTTCAACCTGACGCTACGGGTAATTTTTTATGTAAGGTTAGCGATGCGACTATCTCGGAATTGAGTGCATCAAAACAATATGCGGAAAGGACTTTTCAATTAATTGCAATTAAATAAGAATGCTTTTTAGGAGAATTTAGGATTAGGAGGATGCCATATAAATCTATCCTTAAGCCTAAATTCCACCAATTAAGGAGTGTTATGCTGTAACCTAGAAATTTCACGGGACCAAAAAAATACACCATGAATGCCCAAATCAATAAAGCCTGTTAAAAATTAGGCTTCAAAATAACAACTTAAATAATTGGGAGGCTCTTGAAAACGCGAGACCAATTCAGCTAAGGCAATTCAAAGAAACTGTCTATCGACCGTAGATTTTTGATTGGAATCAATTTTTTGATCTTTTTATTGAGGCTGAAATATTCTCCCCTGCTATAGTTGAGATTTTTTGTGATATAGCTGAAAAAAATGATTCATACATCTTGAACATATATGAGAAATTTGGTTTAAATCCAGAAGGATATATTTAATAGCATGAGAGTCGAGGTAGAGCCCTACCTCAGAATTCACATTAGCATATTCAATCTCAATTAAAATCACTAGAGCTATTTTGATAAAAGAAACGAGAGGGCCGATTTGCATGCTAGAGCATATGTCCGATAATATTTTGCGAACACATGTGCAAATCCTTGAATCCGATAAATGTGAATGCACTAGTTTCGCGTTGTCACAAGTTTTTTCTACATATCTGCTCTCTAGAAATATCGATCCAAAAAGGCCTTTTAAAGGTATATGTGATGTAAAAATGTACCAGTGTTTCTCACCTTTTCAATATTTGGGGACATAGTTGAGCATAAGATACAGCACCAAAAGTGACAAAGATCAAGATCGTACGAAATGGATCCATTTGTGTAAATCGGCGCTTTGCTTGTAAATGTCCATATTCGAAGAACCAGAATTTTAGAAATCATGCGACCACATTAATACCTGATCACGGATACTTCGAATTCGCTTGAACATCATTTAGATCGAAAAGATCCGATAAACTTTAATTCCCAATTCGGACGATTGGACTAATTTTGTATTGTTGCTAACCCTAACCCTGCTTGGCGCCCTTGCAAGAAGGGGTTAGAATTTGAAACAAAAATGCTCCACAGGGGCCCAAATATGAGAAGCACCCTACGGAAGCCCTTAACAGTGACCTCAACAACGTATTATCACATTTATGTATGTGCCGCTTCGGCATCGAGTGAAGAAGACTAAAATTTTTAAATGTGCATATTTAGACCCACAAGTGATATTTTCAATGCAACCAACAAAACTATTGCCTTTAATTTGAAAAGCAAAGATGATGAATGGACTTGAGACATGAATACACTTTGTGATAATGTTGACTTGTGTCTGCCTTCCTTCTGAAACCGTAGTTTAATAATAAAATTCGAGCATAATTTTTTAATTTCATGGCGGCGACGAAAGCCCTCCCTGTCAAACGAAGGCGAGGACCGCCAAAGACGCGCTCGCCCACTTTTGCTGGTGACGTGCAGGCCCTCAAGTCTCCCCTACCCCAGCGGGAGGTAAAGAAAATTTCATCCATCGAAGCCCTAAAGGATGCATTTTCAGACCTATGTCAATCACTTTTGGATGAATTTAAAAAGGCAACACTATCTAATATTCCACCAATCGAGTCTGCAAATGCGAGCAATTTTGTCCCTTTTGTCAATAGAATTAATGTAGTTTCCCTCCCTATTGACGAAAAGAAGACCGAAAGTAATGCGGTCATTTCTCTTTCCAGCTCTGAAAATGAAATGCACAATTGTTTGGCCAAAAAGAAGCCAAAACGAGCCCCAATTAAAAAGATAGCGGTGCAAAGAAAAAAGCCAACGCCACCACCCCCTCCTTCTTTTCTTCCTTCACAAATTGAGGAAAACATACAAACACCAGATGTAGCTCTTGATATAGATGTCCCCGATGTGCAGACTGCTGATATCGACACAGAGGCCTTTAATATTGATCCCAATTTCGAACACGCTGATAAAGCTCAAGAAAAAAAGGATTGCCGTTTTGATGCCACTTCAAGCATTCAAAACGACTCGGAAAACAGCACCATGCAGCATCCGAAGACTTCTGAAAATTTCGTTTCCCAAAAGGGCCAGTTTTCTCAAAGAACTCGTCTTGGTGCTGGGCTGAAACTGCCACCACCGCCTCCATTTCCTATAGCCCCTGCTCAGAAAAGACATGCTTTTCCTGCCTCAAATGCATCAAAGGGGGAAAAGCTTCGACAGGCAATTGCAGCTCTTTCCTCCGATGCCTCGGACTTGATGCAAAGTGAACAAGAAATGGGAGATCCAGACTCGGGGATAAAGCAATGTGTTGGAGAAGACCACATAAATGATAATTTGAAAGACGGCATCGATAGCGAAAATTCAAACACCAAAGAATCTAGCCTTGGATCTCCAATTCTAAAAATGGAGAGGATAGATTTAAAAGAAGGCGATGACATTAGCAAGATCCTTGAAAGCCCAGTTTTGATACATTCTTCCGATTCGATCCATATGTCCCCTGTGAAAGAAAATCTTGAAAGGGCTTCTACTACTCTATGTGATGATTCTTCATCAGCTAAAGTGCCTGTTACTAGCCCGACTGGCGTTCCCATTTGGAAAAGATCTAATCCTCTTCAAAGCACCTCTCCTCTTCGCCTTTCTCCTGCGGCCAACAGGAAACGTCCATCAATCAAAGAATTTTCGAATAGCTCGTTGAAGCATCGAACACATGCCCAAGAGCTGGATCGACAACATGCCTGCGTAAAAAAAGCTTCGAATCCCTTGGCGAAATCTTTGGACACATTTTCAAGGCCCTTGGGTTCATCATCGAACTTTTTCCCTTTAGATTGTTTGGAGCCTTCAAAGAAACCCTTGAATTCATCTGGCGCTATTTTTTCCAAGTACCCTGATGCAACAACTGTTCCTATCGCCTCGCTTCCAAACACCACTTTTTTGAATCAAAAAGAAAATCTTGCCAATGATGTTAATAGCAAGAGTAATGGAAATTTGAGCAAGGGTCCTTCAAGTGCTTGTGCTAATCAGAGACTTCCTTTAGAGCTGTTCTCTGCAAGCAGGGCAAAGCTTGATTTGTTGGGCGCTAACTCTCCAAAAGAAAAATCAATTAGGCCCAATAGCACAGTGTCACCTATGCCGAAAACGGCATCGCAAACGATATCTAAAATAAAGAACAAGGTCGCCGCTCTTCTATCCTCTTCAACACGGGTTGCGTCTGCTGATATGAACAAGGCGGCGGCCCCACATCGAAGCAAGCAAACACCTGTAAAGACGCCAATTGGAAAAACAATCACCCCTGTTTCTTTGAAAGCAATTAGCTCGAGCTGCGTCAAGCATCATCACCAGCCCGCTATGACTCCACGCTCGCCCGCATTGACCCCCATTACTAGGACAAGAGGCACAAAGCCCTCTGAATGCAGGCCCACGTGGGTAATTACGCCAAATCTTCGAAAGTCGCTTGCAAGCCAGTCTTGTATAAATCCAGAGTCGATATTTGGGAATATAAAGAATCTCTCGCTAGAACGTAAGCAAATGGATTGTCTTTAAAATTTTGTTCTGTTATTTGAAACTTTCTGACTTTGTGTTTTAGAGATGTTTCCGGTAAGCTCCAGGCGGCAGCAGAAACCAAGAGGCTCGTCTGCTGTTTGGGAGGGATCCGATGAACTTACCGAAGCAGAAAGATCGGCGTACAACCATTCCATGGGATACGGCAAAAACGGCCACAACTAGACTAACTTTTGACTTATTTTTGTAGTAAATAAATAGCATACATTCAAAGGGGCTTTATATTAATTTTCGTCAAGGGTAGAGATGTAATGTTCAGCCTCCAATGCTGCCATGCAGCCGGTCCCTGCTGCCGTTATGGCCTGTCGCCATCGCTTGTCTTGAACATCTCCGGCAGCGAAAACACCAGGTACAGACGTCTGAGTGGTACCAGGGACCGTGGATATATATCCGTCTGGGTGCGTTTCTAGCTGCTGCTCTAAAAAGCTTGTGTTTGGAATGTGGCCAATCGCAAAAAACAGGCCGGAGATGGGGATCTCCGAAACGACATCCGTTTTTAAGTTCTTGACAAAAATAGATGTCAAAAGCGAATCTCCCTTTGCCTCGGTGATTACATGGGAAAAGACTAGCAAATTAGTAGCAGGCACTTACGAAATTCAATCTTTTCATTCGCCTTGGCTCGTGACTGCATCGTTTTGGATGCACGAAGCTCATCTCGTCTATGGATTAAATGCACCTTGGAAGCGAATTTCGTCAAGAACAAGGCCTCTTCCATGGCAGAATCGCCGCCACCAACAACTGCAACTGGCTTTCCCCGGAATATAGGCAAAGCGCCATCGCACACTGCACATGCTGAAACACCCTTCTGCCAATATTCGCCATCTCGCGTTCCAGGAATATCCATTCGCTTTGCCGTTGCCCCCGTGGCAATAATGAGGGATTGGGAATAAAAGACATCTCCCGATTCAGACTCCACCTTAAATGGACGCTCAGAAAGCGAAAGCTTTGTAACCGTTTCACCAATAATTTTTGTCCCAAGTCTTTCAGATTGTGCCCTCATCTTCTCCATCAAAAGTGGCCCATCAATTCCATCTGGAAATCCAGGGAAATTTTCCACTTCAGTAGTGGTGGTCAATTGCCCACCAGCAGCAACGCCACCAGCCATAAATCCCTCAAAAAGCAAAGGAAACATTTCTGCCCTGGCTGTATAAATGGCCGCCGTATGAGCGGCGGGCCCGCTTCCAATAATAATTACTTTATGCGGGTTTGATGACGAGCTTGTTGAAGAAGAGAAACTCATGTCTGATGTTGAAAGTATAATGCTGGAAGTCTGTGAAACCCGACTAAAAATTTCTCTTTTAAATAATTTTCGAAAGTACATCAAGTAAATTGCGAATAAATTGATGAATGGATAAAATAAAGAAAGTCTAATGACTCGCTTTATCCAGGGATGTTTTAATTAAAATGGGGCTACTCCGTAGCATTAAATGCAGCATTACGCCGCCAAATTTAGCATAGCAATATATTTTCAGAGTATGTGTGTGTGCGGATGCAGATGCCAGTCATCTACAGAGATGAACAGCAAGATTCCACAAATTCCAGCCCCCAAGGGGGCCAAAGTATACGTAGCGGGAACGGGTTCACAGCTATCATGCAAATGCGAGCAGATGAACCAACTTAAAGCTACGAGAATTGTTCAAAGGAAACACGTAAATTTTAATTTTAATTATCTGAGCAAATAATTTCAATTGTGGTTCAAAAATCCAAAGCAATATAATTTTATTCATTTACACGTAAATACAATAATCGCCCATAGATATAGATGAAGAGGATATACACCGCTGCTAACCTCTCAAGGCCAACAACAAAGAGGGCAGCTCCAATTGGTCCTCTTCTTCTTTGAATTTCTCAAGGACCTTTGTTTGAAATTCTTCAGGGGGGCGGGTCTGGGAATCCGATCGAGAATGTTCACGACACTCTTGTCCATCTTTTTTCATGAGCGAAGTCGATTGTAAAAGGTTGGATAAGGAAATATTGGGCGATACGTCAGGCTCCGTCTTGACGCTATTTGGATTAGGTTTTCTCTCCGAGCTGTAATAAACAGATTGGTTGTTTGGATAGCCCGAAGAGATGGGCAACGACGCCGAGCGGTAACCTTTATATGAGTCAAAGGGCGAACGCCGAGTTTGGTGGTCAATACTATTGTTTGAATTTGGCGCATTGTACTTCCAACTCAATGTGTCCCAAGATCCGCTAGATGATTGGACCGGAAGCGTCCTCTTGCGAATAGGAGCCTCTGAACTGATAGGAAATTTTACTGAATATTCATTTGAATAAAAAAGTTGTTCCGTAGGGGCTATGGGTGAGCGGCCATACAGAAGAATAGGGCGTTGACCGTTAGAAAATGCATTCACGTGAGAGGCTGTCGAATGGTGATAAGGGGTGATGGGAACGCCAGAGTGAAACCCACTTGGCCTTATGAGGCTGGGAGATGGTGAAGACGGCGAGTGTGAGGCCGAAGTTGATGGGGAGCCGGTGACTTTTCCAAATTGTTTCGCCTTTTGCCGCTGATTTTGAAACCAAACTTGAATTGTGCGTTGTGGAATTTGCAAGATTTTAGAAAGCTGTTCTCTCTGTTCGTTGGTGGGAAAATAGGTTTCATCCAACACTGCAAGGAGGATTCTTGTCTGTGAGGGCGTCATAACTGTCCTTGAGCGGCGTCTCGATCTTGACGGCGAACCGTGAGTAGATCTGGAGATACTCAAAGATGGGGACCCTTCGTCCAATGAAATTTTGCTTTCAGAATCTGCTGGGGAAGAATCGAGCGAAGAACAAGGCCTTTTAGGCACAGAAAAGTCGGGGAAATCGCCTTCGGCAAGATCTCCAGACAAATCGGAAGATGCATCGTCAAAGTGAGAGGCCTCGTTTGGCTCCTCCATAGAGGGAGCATCAGATGTCGTGAAAGAGGAAATGTTGATTGAATCAGCACCTACATCATATCCAGCCTCTTTTGGAGATCTAATAATAGACCCGGTCTTAGGTCTGGAGAGATAATCACCGGAGGGGTACCCGCATTTGGAAAGGGAGTCAAAACGAGACTCCTCATGCTGGCCAGAAACCTTGGCATTGAATACACCAACCTGGCCAGATGATTCGAGTGAGGGCTGAAATATGGAAGCATCTGGTGACTTTACAATCTGTTCGGCAAGAAAGTTGGTCTCGGCGCTCATAATTAAGTGGTGTTGTAAAATGAAATTAGAAATCTATATAGTTGCTAGGGGAGGTGTTTCAGGGTGGGCAAATTGGACGTCACTAATTCAACAAATCAGCGCTTATGAAACTGAAATGAACTTTCATCTGTGTAGCCAATAAAGTCACAGTCATTGATGAGATGCAAATCGGACGAACTTTGAAGTCTGATGATCATTTATCTATTGTGTTGATCAGAATCAATTTATATGCGTGATCCTAAATTTTAATTAATTAGTTTAAATTGAACCATTAATTTTGTCTTTGTTGAAATGGTAAGATTGTGGCCATTGCTGTTCCCGGCAAATTACATCCGTTGCCTATCCCTCAGTATTAACATGATAGCCCAAGCAATTAACCGACGTCAAGCAATTTATGGAGATTGTCTCCAGGCCTGGAGTAAAGTCCATTAGAATCAAAAAGGATCAAAATATGGTCAAGTTCAAGGCACAAACATCAACCCTGCTTTACACCCTTGTCGTTCCCGACCTTAGCAAGGCAAAGAGGATCGAAACAGAGCTCAAACGTAAGTGATAATTTTTCTCTCGCGCGCGATCCATATGATTAACTGTTCATGCACCACTCCTAGCATTCTTGTGCGGAGAGCAAAACAACCCTTTATGAAGGATCATAATTGAATTTTTCAATTTCAACAACCCTAACTCATTTTTAGAAATCAAAGTTCCACTGGTCTCCTGCTAACGTGGCCATCCATTGTTGTATCAATAAACTCGGATTTTCGGTCTCACTTGAGTATAATATTTAATTATTTTCGCTGAACTTCCGGGTTGCAGAGACCAGATCCTTCATCATTGAGACGGAGCTGCTCCATCCTGATGCTCTGCAAAGACTGTCCAAAGAAAGGATGTTTAAAAGGGAAAGCTTTCTCACAATAAATGACAAATCGAGAGAATTTTTGGATGCCCTGGAATATCGCCTTTCTAAACATTTGGCACTTCTATATTCTTTGTGGTTCAGCCCACCAGGACTGAGGGCAAACACGACATCGCCATTTGCCGCCATTGAATACTGCGAGTTCAAATTGAAATACAACAAAGAAAATTTTTTGAATTCGCTCTCGGAAATTGAGAAAAGAATGCCGTGTTCCCCAGAAACACTGCCATAGCGACACCAAGAAGTATGCAACTGGGCTCCGTTTTCGGTCTTTGCAAGTAAAACCACTCGTTCGAGGAATAAAATTGGATCTGGCGAAAGGAAGAAATCGGATCGATGAATTAGCCTCAATCCAGACAGCGAAGCTGGCGAATTCGGTGAATACGAATAGGTGTGCAAATTTCCGCCCTCATCTCCGGCTACCAAAGAAAGAGCCCCATTTAAGCTTGGAACGAACTAAAAAGTTACTCAAGGCAAAGCAAGGCATACCTCAACACATGATGTGCGGAGATTAGAAAAGTCTTTCCCCAGTTGGATAAGCTTTGCAGGGTCTTCTTGAAAGGCTGCCAAAATAATGCTCTTAAAAGCATCTCCTATGAGAATGTAGTTTTTGATAACAGAAATGGTGGTCACATAAATAGAAACATCCATAAAGGCCACGCCGTCAAGAGACTCACCGTCACCAAACGAATGGACGATAAGCTTCGGGCCAATAGCAGTGACAAGGTACCCCGCTACTTCATCGACTGCAGTTACTGGACCCTTGACCTCTTCCTCATAAACGACTTTGAGTCTATATTTTCCTTCGAGGCAAGAGGAATCCGGAATAACAGAGATGATCTCAATAATCAAAACTCGACCACGGACCCCTCTATCTTCTCCCTTGAGAAAGCAGGTGCCGGCCACAAAATACCATTTTATTCCTGAGGCCGTCTGTCTTGAATTGAGCGGGAGCCTTTTAAGAGAAAGGCATTGTTCGTAAGGCAGCAAATGAATCCTATGATGGAATAATTTAATGGCTTCCGAGTTCTTACCTATCAATAATGAGCCAAGAGACCGGTGATATGAGCTCCAAAAAGGAAGAGACGGTAAAAGGCGTCGTCATCAAATGTGGTGCCATCATAGATACTTCTGCCCCATTAGAAGTTGAGATTTGCTTGTTATTTTCTTTGGCGAGCGCCAACTCTGCTTCGGTTGGCGGAATTATAAAAGGGACCGGTGTTTCTAGCACTGAAATGTGTGTATGGCTTTCAGGATCATATCGTAGCATGGAGATGATGGTACTGTTATCGTTTGGGCACCCTGAAGGTGACAAACCAGGCTTGAATCTTAATAGCTTTCTATCCCAGAGGATAGTTTTGGCTTCTGGTAATCCCCAGAACGGGGTTGGACTTGACGTTGACGAAAAAGGCTTGTAAATCATCAATCCATTAGAAGAGGTCAGTGACAACAAAGTAAGAGAGTCCGATAACATGATTGGACTTGCAGCGACCGGATAAGCTCCCTCTGGGAAACAAATTTCTGCAAGCACTGGCAATGAGGACGTCTTGCTCTTGTCAATAAAAATGATGTATGAAATTTCGCTTCCCAAAACCAAGACCGCATCAAGGATTGGACTAATGGCTCCGAGATGCACAATCGATTTTCGGATGTAAGAGAAATTGCACCAAAATTCATGGTCAAGCCTGGTGAATGAAACCATTGTAGCATGGCGACTTTCTTCTTCAGAGACATAAAGACCATTGTGTTCCTCATTAGCTTGCTCAAGCAAATGGCTAAAAGCTCTAGAGTAGTAAATTGAAGTAAATGAGGAATCATCCGTAGTAAATGATGGCGTGTATCGAAGGATGAGAAGCATGGACCCGCATGAACCCTGTGTAATGCTGAATTCTAGCAAAGAAATTGGAGGCTGTTCTGTCTGCATCGTAATTGATTGTTTAGCGGCCGGTGAGGAGAAGGAAAGAAGATAGGGAAGTTTGGCAATATCCATGGTCTGCCAGATCATTTCCATCGAGGGCAGGAGATAAAAGGCAACCGAATCAAGATGATCAACATTGTGTGTATAGTGGACCGCCATTATCATGGCAGAGCAGAAACGCGTAATGGAGCAGCTTTTAGCTGTTAGGTTATTGTCCGTTGCGGTTGAATCATAAATAATTTTTAAAAAGGAAGACTCGTTAACCACGAATAAATAAAGGGATCCGTTTTCTAAAATTATCGAAAGATATGAATCGCAGGACGTGGAAAAGGAAATCAGAGAGCTAATATGGCTAGACTTGATTGGCGAAGAGGGCATATCTACCGGAGTTCGGTACAAGTCATTATCCCCGATTTCCATTATTTCCTTATCCATAGAACAATGTTCATTGGACAATGAGGAAATTTCCCATCGAAAAAGCAGTCGACCGATTGATGACAAAATCAAAATAGCACTTGTCGTCACCTGAACGAGGACTACAAACGAATTTGGGAGCACCACTGAAAAGGCCAGCAAGGTGGGGCCCTCCACATGAAATGCGGCAGAGGGATCAATTACTTCCGTTAGTTGTCCACTCTGCGATTTCAGGATCAGCGTTGAGCTTTCAGAAGACAGAAAAACATAAGAAATCGAAGATCCCTCAATAGCCAAGCAGTTGACATCTCGACATCCACATAAAAGAGGCGGAAGATTGGAAAGAATTTCCGGCTTTAAGGTACTTTGGCCACTCCTTTGGCTGTTGGGATTGCAGAGAAGAAGAGAGCGGCCTGCGCCTGAATAGGAAACTGTCCTCTGAATGGAATCTACATAAGAACATTCAGGGGAGAAAGAAAGATTTGGAAACTCTCCAACGACGCTTATAATCCAGGATGAAGAAGATGCTTCCCCAAGTGCCAAAAAAGAAGATTTAAGAACAGACCTTGGTGCACTTGCCTCAATGCTTAAAGTGGACGAATACAAGTCGTCGTCATTCTTGGCGTCTGCAGTGATGTTCTATGCTCATAAATGGGTGTAATCTTACGTCATCATCCAACTCAGCAAACGAAGGGTGTGAAGAGGCAGCATCTTCGGCCGAACCATTCTGCCATATTTCAAAAAAGAGGTTTTGAGGGCCCTCCGATGTACCAAAAAACCCAAGATTCATGTTCTGCGCAGAAATGGATAAGGACCTCGTTGAAATTGAAGACACAACATATGAAGGCAAAGTGGTTGCAATGACGCTAATTTCTGCCCTAAAGACACCAGAATATCCGGGATTCAAAAAAAGTGACAATATATAAATGGAGCCGTTCAATAGGGAAAAAATAAAGTTTGAAGGGCCATCATCTGAACCATTGCCAAGATGATTGATTGTGCATTTTGTCAAATCGAGTCCAAGATGTGCGTATTTGGAATCTGAAATTAGGGACGTAAACCTACTGGAGGGGGAGAGCCCACTGATTGTGGAAAAGTTCGAATTTACAGGGATCGTGAAAACCCTGCCAAGCGTGTCAATGTGGATAAATGCACTGGTGCTTAGTACCAGTATACCGCCTAAAAGGGGTAAGTCAATTGCATAATGTTGTTGAAAGCAAAAGGGAAACAACAAACAGTTACATACATATGGGCCTTTTGACCGCCAAGATCTTAAACGCATCGGAGGGTATGTTTGTTTGCCTTCCAATAAGTATGAATGACTCGGAGTCTATATTGGAGAGGGAAAGCCAGTAGATCATCTTGGTATCTCTCAGTAGATTCAATCGACTACATCATTAAAAGATTGAGAAAATAAACGTACCAAGGATCTGTAGGCTTCGGCTCGGCAAGCAACGCCATAGCAGGGATATTAAAGTTCTCAAGAAAACAGAAGTCAACCAAGTTCCTCAGATCGTTGTCAATGGAGGATCGTAAATTATCACAGACAAAGCATTTGGGCTCAAAAAGATGGCCGTGTTTTTGAATCGACGAAAACGAAATCATACCGATGGAATCTCTTGGAAGCGGAATGGCTGCCATTCGCGATTGAGGATCAACACAAAGCCCTGCTGATTGTGGCAGAAAGGAGGCCGATAGCTATGAATTAAAACGGAGGGGCAATCTCACCGAAAGATCCTTTTCAGTATACGCCTCATCAAATGAGATCAGTGAAATTGTCTTCAGCAAATCTTCGTTTTCGTTGTACGCGACAATTGAAACCTTTTGCGGGAAAAATGAAATCATCAAGTAATCAAAGCTCTTTTCAAAAAGGCCAATATCATTTGACTCCGTTGCAGATAAAAAGATATTTGTCGAGACTGCGGAGAGCCCCGTTATTACGCCTTCAAATTTGAAGGACTTTAAATGGAGAAGCCTGTGACGAGACACACACTGTTCCCAAATGACGGAATACACAGAAACAATGTTGCTATTTGCAGTGACAAAATGGCATTTGTGGCCAGGAAATACAGAATGGGATAAATTACAAAAGAGGGAAGCGGAAATTTTCGTTGAAGGCAATGTCTGTACAACTATTTGGTTATACATCTCTGTTAAGGGAAATGATATTCAATGTAATGGTAATGAATGCCGTAAATTTCAATTTGGTCTTATCTTGTGCCACGAAAATTAAATTCCAAATTTTATTTGCTTTCCCATGTATACATCGATGTCGATTGTTTTTCAAGACGTTTCTGTGGGCGGGTTGGCCTTGGATTGCCAATGCCCCCAGAATCCGATGTGATTAGCGGAACAAATTCTGCCTGTGCCTTGCTTAGCACGAGCACGAGCACATTATTTTCCAATTTTTCGATGCCAAATACATGTGCTATGTGCTTTTGTTCAAAAGCCCAATGTACAAACCACGTATGTAATTCATAATTTATTGATGTGTTGGGAGAGCTGATTTCTAAGCGCCGAAATGATTGTTTTTGCAACGGAAATAGAGTGCTTTTCAATAAATCTTGTGATCTCAAAGGCAGGCATGGATAGCCCGCGTTTATATACAGAGAACACGTCTTTGGTATTTGGATCGATCGACACTATAATGTCCCCGACGCAATGTATCTCCTCAAGCTGGCAGGGGTCGATAAGCATGCATGGTCGAATATTGTTCAAGTTCAGTTTGGAGTTTTTAAGCAAATCCTCGTCAGGCTGCAGTATGGAAAAATACAAAATCACCGGTGTATAGGAAAGAGCAACGTCGGGATACTTGAATGTACACAATCTATTGTACATTTCAACGGAAAAGAGCGCACATAGCAATGAGTAGGAAGAGCAGCCAATAACATTTCCATCAGAGCAATCAAGTATGGTGATTGAAGCACAAAGATTCCAAACCTATCGGTGAGAGAATGAGGAAATTATACCTGCTCCCCAGACCTAATACAAAGCCTTTCAAGATCGATGGCTTTAGAAAATTTATACACCGTTTCCAGCAAGCGATGGATATAAAAATGCGACTCTAGCTCGCTAAACATAAATCCATAAGCAAGGATACCCGGTCGATGGCTTGTCAAAAAGAGACGGCAAGCTGTTCAGCTTCAAAGAAAAAGACCCCTCTTTCGGCCTTTCAGGATTTGGCGATCCCGATTCAAATGAAAGCGCAGTGTGGACTCTGGTAGCCCCCAACGTCAGCTCGACGGAAATCGAATCCCTGGTCGGTATGATGCTTGAAATTGTTGGGATTCGACTTTCTGTAAAATTTCTCCCATCCACCCTTACATTCGAAAGCGTGGACATGGCCAAAAACTTTGCCTGCAAATGGTTAGCATTCCCGGAGCCATCAACATTTAAAGTCAAAGACATGAGAAAATTAAAACTTTAATAAAATTGCCTCTAATGGGGGCTCCCACTGAATCAGTGCCTCTTTACAACTTTTTAGTAAGCTTTGAATTCTTATCGTTATGCTGGTGCATATGCCGGGCTTTCTGTCGATTTAATCTTGTTTCCGCTCGACACTTTAAAAACAAGGATTCAAAGCAGGCAAGGCTTAAGAGCCATTGTCGGAGGGCTAAGGGGTGCCTATTCTGGACTCCCTGCCACATTGCTGGTTTCGTGTCCATCGGGTATTGCATCAAAAATTTACTCTTTTCTTTCCCATACTAGCCGCAATTTTCTTCTACACTTATGAGATGATGAATGATATTTTCAAAGCAAATAGAGACCATTTCTCGCTCTCGCAAACCCTCATCTCATCGGTTACTGCTGAATTGGTACCACTTGTAAACTTGCTTTAGTGTGCCTCTGTCATAAGAACGCCAGCAGAAATTGTCAAACAAAGAAGGCAAGCGCACCTGTTTGGATCCACCTATGCGGCCTTTAATGACCTGTTAAAAAAGGCAAAAGGCAGCCGCATGGTACAATGCAGCCAACTATATCGAGGGTTTATTCCCACCATAATACGCGACATTTCGTTCGCTGCCATTCAATTTGTAATTTACGAATACAACAAGGTGCATCATGTGGTCCTTAACCTTTTAGAACCTGCTATCAAAGTACATAAGCCGACCGCTTCTTCCATCGGAAGCCTCAGTTTGCGGGTGCATTGCGGGGGGAATTTCTGCAGCCATAACAACGCCCTTGGATGTGCTAAAGACTCGAACCATGCTGAATCTTTCACCCAAGGTACCCTGGATAGCATAGCTGATTTACAGGAGAAAATCCCAAATGTGTTTGTACTGGGAACTGCCATTTTGAACAAAGAAGGCGCACGCTCGTTGCTCCATGGGCTTACGCCGCGCGTTGCATGGATGACAATAGGCGGCGGCATATTTTTTGGCGCATACGAACAGGCCAAATCATTTCTGTCGTAGCTCTATGGGGATATTTTAATAGCGGATTCAGTAAAATTACTCAGCCCCTGAAGGGGCCTTAAGTCTTCCTGCTTGATAGTTTCGGTGTGTAAGCAAGTTATCAAGCCGTGCAAGGCTTGATAACCAAGCCAGATACGCTGCAGACTTAACGTTTCTACACATTTAATAGTTTGGACATTAAATTATCCGTGTTTTCGCAAAATGGCACTGCAGCATTTGAAGATGACAAGGTGATTAAATTCATAAAATCCCTCGATTCGAGCGACTAGGGTTAGCCATAAAAGCCTTACCGTGCAACTTAGAAACTCGAAATTTGTCCAGGACTCTTCGTCAGCGAGCTTCTGCAGGTGGGAATACGACTTTAGCCTGGCGAGAGTCTCTGCCTGGCTCTCTTTCTTTCTAAATTGGACCTGCAACGCTTTCGACTTTTCATGGACGTTTTGAGAACCAAAGTCAACCGCCTCGTCCTTTGGCTTTATGTCTTGTTGTGCTGAATTGCACAAAGACGGTCTTAGTTGGATAAACGATTGCAATGGCACAATGAAAAACTTGTCATCGCTAATCAGACCCGCAAAATAGTTGGACTTTGGAGGGATTTTCAGCGAGGTCAAGTGCTGAAATCCAGACACATTATCATTCCAGAGCTCGTTGTTAACAGATGAAGATGAGCATGAAGGCTTTGGATCTTTTGCCGAAGAATAAAACTCGGAATCGGTATCGATGGGAACGAGCAGCTCAAGGAGTTCAGACTGGGACTTGAACCTGGCCTGAATCCCTTCTTCTGGATTTGCCTCTTGACGCAATGGAAATTGAAGAAGATAGATGTCATTGATATCTTTAGATAAATACAAATCCATCTCCTTGATTACCTCATCATATGGACAAGGATCCATTTATAAAATTAAAATTTATTTGTAAATTCTCGGCCTGTAGACTGACTGTGGTGTGCCCTTGGGGCTACATGCGCCAAAAGCAAAATGCTGCTGGATAAGAAGATTTGCCTTATCTTCATCACAATTGAGATATTAAAGTAGGGGATTTTAGGGCATTTACTTACAAAAGGTTGTATACAAAAGTTTGTTTCTTACTTTGGCAACATGCCTTGGCTTGGGGCTTCAAGTAGGGTATCTTTTTTTGTACCGGCTCCAGATTTTGTCGATCTCAACGAAACATAGCTAAAAGGTTAGATCCATAAGTTACCTATACATGAAGCCACCCATTGATGTCATTATTATGCCAAAAATATCGATAAGAATGATGGGGGTAGAAAATATGACGATCCCAAAGGCTATCGATATGGATTGCTTGATGTTTCCAACGACAGACATTGTCAATGGCGATGTTAGCTTTGTCAGGTAGAAAGAGGAGCAGTTCAAGGCAAAGGCGCTCAGTCCATTGATGCCCAAGAAAAAAAGAGCCACACTTAGTGTTCTGTGTACCAGCTGAAGAGAATAAAATTGATTAAATAGAGCGAGCTCGCCTTGCAGCCAGGAAAAAAGCAAACATTGAAGAAGGCAAAAAGGGGCGATTTTATAGCAAAGCTCGAGAGGATGGAATCTATCGTTCCCGGTCAGAATCAAATTGACAAAAATACCCTTGAAGGCACCTACAATGACGCCCAAAAAGGTCAAGATGCATCCGAAATTGCTAAACTCCGAGGATTCCTGAAATTGGGCAACAGAGGATAGGCAAATTCCACAAATAATCTAAAAAATATAACGATTTTGTTACCGGAATCAAAGTAAGTATAATCAGGAGAGGAGGGAGCCTGCCGAAAAAAAAGTACTCCAAAACAATGACAAAAAAGGGATTGGTCGACCTGACAATCTGGTGAAATGGAATTGAAACGTAATTCAAGCTCAAGTTGCTGGTGGCAATATTTAGAGTGAATATCACGGAACAAAGGAAAATTTTGACCGATCTGGAAAGGGAATATGAAGCGGTGTTTTCCGTGGAAAGGCCAGCTGCATACTTTTTTTTTGCTATCCTCGAAGCTATCAATAAATAAAGGAAGGAAAAAAGCCCAGAAGACCCAATATGAAGGAATGTCAATAGCCACGGAAACGAAAATCCAAGAACGGATAGGATCCACTTGTTTTGAAGAGTTAGAAACACATTGAGAGACAAGTATAAGGATATACAAATAAGCTCGATTGAAAGGAATCGAGCATAAGGCATTAAAAAAATCAAAACAAAGTGATGCCATTCAGATAGGAAAGTATTTCTGTGGGCCATAATACCCAATCAAGCGTGCCTATTAAAGAGTAGCTCCAGGTTTCAGTCTTTTCAGATGCCGTGTTTTAGCTTTTCTTTTTCAAAATAAAGTGGCCTTGGCGATTGCCGCAGTTGCACACCTTGTCATCGCTAAAGCATCAATGTAAATGGGCGGTTTCAACAAAATCTATTGTAGATAGGCGGCTCCAATAAAGCCCGCTGTAGATATCTTTGACGCATGCTACCTTTTGCACACATGTTTCGATTAAAATTTCGTTTCAGCATGCATAGCGGTCAGCAATCCATATGTGCTGCAAAGGATCTTTCAGTGTACAGCGCCATGGCTTGTCACTCCCCATAACATTGTGCAAATGTCCAAAAATTGTGTCTCAATTTTAAAATTTAGCCGTTGAATGTCTTTTGAAGATCTTTACCTGCTTTTTTCTCTTATAAGCTCTCTGCTATATGTGTTGGTTGGATATCTTCTATATGAGAAAGTCTCCATCATCGATGGTAATTTTGAATGCAGATTAAGCTTATTTCCAAAGTCAATTTTCTCGTTCGTATTTTCGTGCTCCATTTCACTGGTCCAACTTGCTTTTGTGGAGGTGTTGGGGCTTATTGATCCAATGTATGCGAATCAAAGATTTACTCCAAAATTTAGATATAGGCTCTATTTGTGGAAATCCATCATTTGGCTATTGCTTGCACTAATATTGGTCATTATTCCGCTTTACCAGATCCATTATCTGCTGGCTGGTCTGAAAGGGAACTTTAGGATCTTGTGTAGCATTGTGATCTGGGTAATCTATGTCGCATTTATATGGAAATTGGGAGGGTTAGCAGCCTTAAATGTCGACTCCAGTCGCATTCCTTATCTTACCATCTTTGCGGGAAAAGCCAGCGTCATAGGAATAGCTTTGATGGCCATTTTGGGTGGCGTCACTGCGGTATATTCATCGGCATCGATTTTTATTGAGCTTCCAACGTTCGACTCGATAAACAGGTACCCTAGACATGTGTATCCACATTTTAGCGACCAAGTCTCTTGTGAAGACAAAGCATATATTGGCTACGAAAATATTGAAAAAAAATTCAGAACCATGCATGGATATAGCCTCGCCTTGAAAAGAGAAAATCTACACAAGGTACCATGAGCCCATTCACGCCAGAGCGCCTTTTCTCGCGTTTTTGAACGGCTTTTTCAACATGGCTGTCTGTTCTATTTTGTCTATAAGCTCTCTTTGGTATACTTCTCTTTTGATTCCGTAGTCTTTGATAGGCCTATTTCTGAAAAACTACGCCTCCAACAAGACCACTTTGCATCCATCGTTTCTTCCACGCGTAATAAGCTATTTTGGGCTGCCAGTTGATATCCAGTTTTGGGTTCACTATTTCGGCTTTTTCATCATCGGGTGTACGCTCATAAACTACGTTCGCGGGTTTATCATCAATCTTTTGAAGGTACGCCATTTCCCGCTCATCTTTGCCGCGTGTAGGTGTCAAAAACCTGCTCTGAGCTAGCTGAGCCCAAATTTGTCATGCTACTTATTTCTCAGCTGATGGGCGTTTATTTTCTTTCGTGCATCATTATGCTGAGGGCCAATCTGCCCGAAGAGTATCGGTACACCGGCTGTAGTAACAATTAGCAAAGCCTTGTCTTCTGCCCTTGAAGGGTTGGTTTTCGAGTTCTACACCAGATGGTTTGACGTCTTTTTTATTTGGAGCTCTATTTTAACGTTTATTTATTTTTGGCTGTGGCACAAGGTTGTCGGCAGTACTTTACAGGTCTTTGAAGACGCCGACATGGTTGTATGAGCGATCTAGCCTTGATCCAAAGATCAAGGCCACCAAAGAGGCTGTTGATAGAGTAATTCCGCAAAATAAATTTGGAATTGGCCAGTACTATACGTTGTGAATAAATTTACACGCGCCGTACCTGCCAGTTGCTATTCCAATCCAGCACCAGAGGAAGCGATCCCACCCATGACCCAAAAACATATGCAATCGACGGGAGTAGCCTGAAATGATCGATGGTCATTGTATTTCGAAAAGGCATATCGGAAAAGTAAACAAAATAGCACTCCATTAGGGCGAAAGATACCTTACAAAATTGAAGCGAAAAAATTGCCCACGGTACATATTCAAATACATTCAAGCTGGGGCCAAGAATGTATGCCGAAAACGCCAGTAAGACCGCATACTTCAAGTCGGCACACTGGGGGCGCTTAGAAAAGCACAAATTGACACCAAATAACACGGTGGCAAAGAAAAGCATGGCCCCGGAAATTGTCCATAGCGCCGGCATGCTGCAAAAAAGTTAAAAATAATTTATTGGTGGAAGGTAAAAATGGTTTTGTTCCTTTTTCGGTTGCTTAAATCGTTGGGTGCGTTGTACATGTGTCGAATGTTGATGGTGCTCCGCAAGAGGCTAGCAGGATACACATACTCATTCATGATGGACAAAAATTCCGGGAAAACGTCTTCTCTCCCCTCTTCAATGTCACAAAGAAGGGGCTTTATGGCAGGAAGGAATATGTCGTTATAGTAGGTAATAATATCAGCCTCCTCAAAAGAATCGGCATCTGGGTCGTGATCAGACTCGCTTTCTGCTGATGATGCCTGCTCAATTGGGATCCGTCTAAATGAGGATTCCGTCTTTGAGGGATCCTGCAAGTAAATTGATAAGATGTATCGAAACGATAGCAGGTGTTCGTCTACATTGGAGAGGGACCCTGAAGAAAGATGTGGATACACCAGCGACAATCTGCAAACAGTGTACATGGCACTCATAATCACAATATCAATGCTGATACCATCCCTTAAAAGCCTTGGCCTTGCCTTTGTTATTGAGAACAACACCAGTTGCCATATAATTCTTCTAGCCGGAATGGAAAGTTGAAGCTCATGGCCTTTGATGAAAAACGATAGGGTCGATTTGAGTCTGTGTACAATTACTTTCAAGTAAAATTTGGATCTGCTAACCATGTGGTCTATGGAGCTCCAAATCCATTTATCCATCAGCAGGTTGAAATATTGCACAAGCTTGTTGTTGCTAGTACACATGTCTGTCGAGTGCGAAGATAGAATTCTGATGGTGGGGCCAATTAAAAGAGCTATTTTGGATAGCGAGCAGTTGAGCTCCGAATGAAGAGCGAGCCGAGCGGTCAACACTTCATTTAAAAGCTCGCCATAATAGCTGTCGACATTTGAAATGATCATCGATATGGCGTTAATGCAGCACACAAACTCGGGCGACATAAATGTCAAAGTATGCGAGGGATACAAATCAAAAAAGCCCTTCCACACAACACACAGGATCCTTGCACAATACGAGGAGGACTCCACCAGGGAACACAACAATGAAACATTGAGATCGATTTGCAAGTCATTCCACGGTATTGGCTCAATATCTACCACATATGAATTCTCAATAAAATAGGTCAAATCAAAGGTCAAAAAATCAAGGACATTTCCTTGCATTTTGAAAAAGCGCTCAATGAAAGGCTCGCAAGAGACGCTGAATCTTGAGCAGTTGAGAAGAAAAAAATCGAGCGAAAATGTTGGCTTTGAGATCCCATATAGCATCGTGAAGCACTTTATCATGTCCAACTCGCCGATACACGTGATTTCCTGCAGTACCACGAAAGAAAGCAAAATATACCGCCAACAAAAAGAAATGGACCCATTGAGCACATAGATTTCACTAACGTTGATATCCAAGCTTTTGTTGAGAAAAATACACAATCTTATCAGAAGAAACATCTGAGAATCGGACGGCACGCGTGAGATGGAAAGCCTGTTAACAATGGTGCTTACAAAAAAGAAACACTGCGCAATTTCGACACTAGATGCAACACTGCATATAAGGCCATCAAGCGCCTCGGCATCGTCAACCAGACAGCTGGATGACTTGACCAGCAAAAGAGCATTGTACAAGCGGGTTGGATTTATGGCCAAGCGGTCAAAAACCTTATCCATAAGCATGTAAGGCGTAAACGCCTCATCAGGGCCCACTTTGCGTAAATTAATAAGGGTCAGCCAAAACGAGGAAGCTATAAAATACTCGTCAAACACATTGGAAACGCTGAAAATGTCGTGCGAAATCAGCATGAAAAGCTCAACAATCTCGGCGTCACAGCGTGCCAAAAAATCAAATGCATTCAGCAGACACAACACGGAAACCAACTTTTCCTCCGCCTCGGGTCTAGTGGGGCAAGCAAGATCCATCGAGAGAAAGCGACAAAGGATGTACTGTCATTTTGCGGTGACAGATCATTTGCATGCGGTCGCTATTGAACCATTGCAATTCAGCTGTCACTTCGTTGTCAAATGGGATTACAAGGCGGGATGGTATTTTAATTTCAAAAAGATAGCCAATTAAATTGGAGCGAAATTTTTAATGCTCATTGAAGAAGTCATCATTGATGGCTTCAAAAGCTATGCCTCTCGAACTGTGATTGGCGGGGGGGATCCAAAACTCAATGCCATCACCGGCCTCAATGGGTCTGGAAAGTCCAATATTCTGGACGCTTTGTGCTTTGTGATGGGAATCGAAAATATAAAACAAGTAACGCCGCATAGCTTTTACCTGTCAGATTCGCGCAAATACGCTCCAGGACCTGATTTACAAGAGAGGGGCTACTGGAATTAATTTTGCCAGCGTAACTGTGATATTTAACAACGAAGACGCTCAACATTCTCCCGTTGGATTTTCCTCTTGCCCCAAAATAGCCGTGACGCGTCAGGTGCAATTTGACGCTAACTCCAGTAGATCGTGCTTGGAGGAAAAAACAAGTTTCTCATCAACGGGACCAGCGTTACGCAGGACCGGGTGGACTCTTTGTTTAGGAATGCCAATCTTAACGTCAACAATCCACGATTCTTGATTATGCAAGGACAAATAACCAAAATTTTGAACATGAAGCCGCAGGATTTATCAAATATGCTGGAAGACACCGCGGGAACTCGAGTGTATCAAGACCACAAGGAAAAGGCCATCTGTACGCTGCTGAAAAAGGATGCCAAGGTCGGCGAGATCTCTGAAGTAATGGCCTCCATTGTTTACATTTAGCTGTTGTCGCAATCAATCCTGCCCAAATTAAACTCTTTAAGGCTCGAAAGGTCGCTATCCCTTGAGCAGCAATCTTTAATGAACGAACTGGAAAAGCAAGAGGGAGATTTGGCGATATTTACGTACCAAAAGCTGCTTGTGGAGAGGAAAAGTATTGAAGAAAAAGTGTCCCATTTAAAAGCCGTTCTTTTGGATATCGAAAACAGCCAGTCTTCTCTGAATACCCAACACAATACGTTATCGGCCAACATTGAGGCCTGCTCGCCCAAAATCGTAGCCATACAAGCGAAAATTGATGGCCACTCTAAAGAGCTTTCTTTGGTTTCGTCAAAATTATCTGCCTATATCGCCAAAAAAGAAGCCCTTGAGGAGTCAATATCGACAACGGAAGCATCCATAAAGAGGCTTGTCTCTTCTTGCACGTCGCCTATCGCCGATCAAGCTCATGACAGCAGGGCAGATCGTGGCCATTTGGAAAAAATCTCGACCATTCTTTCCGAAATCAACGAAGATTTATTGAGGAAAGAAAAGCAGTCCGCCTTGATACGCTCTTCCAGCTCGCTGTCGAGCGCCTCACTAGATGAGCTGGACGCAAAAATCGATGGTAATCATGTGGTTTATAACCAAAGGATTGAACCGCTCCATTTCAGAGAAAATCCCCGAATTGTCGCACCAGGAAGAGAAAATTAAAACCCTAGATGCCAGTATCAAACAACGAAATGAAAAGAAAAAACCGGTTTGGGAACACACCATATCAAGTTTGGAGCATCAAATTTCGGAAAAGAAGGCTCTAATTGATCACTTGAATGTAAGGCGGTTTTTCAATCAATCTCATTTAGGATGAAGTACAAAAGGCCTCTGTCTCACTATCGCACCTTCCCAGCTCCATGGAGCTGCTAAAGATCAAATCGGAAAGAGAATACGAAATCAGCGGTGTCAAAAGCTCATGTTCTCGCTTGAAAGAAAAAATCGCCTCTTTTATGCGATTCCCGGATTTAAGAAACGTCGCTCAAAATCGATTTCATGGCTCGGTAGCATCTGTTTTGTACTTGCCCCCAGAAAACCGTTGCTGGGCATATGCTTTGGAACTGTGCATCGGAGGACGGATGCACAATTGGGTGGTGGACTCGGAAACCGATGCATCTCAATTGATGCAAACGGCTTCAAACAAGGCGCATAGGATGACCGTGCTACCGCTCGCAAAAATCCAGGGCCGTTCGATTGCACGCCATATTTTAGACAAGATTTCGCAAAAGGCCTCTCAATTCCCCAATTCTTGTGCGCTGCCTGCATCCTCCGTTATCGCGCCGCGGGATCCCAAGTTTTCGCCAATTATCGACTTTATCTTTGGAAATATCATTTTAACAGACAACAAAGAGCTTGCCCGTGCTATCGCTTTTGATAAGAATATCAAGATAAAGTGTGTTACCAAAGAGGGTGATATTTACGATCCCTCTGGCACGATGACTGGAGGTGCAAAATGCCACAATCCCTCAAACTCGCCGTCGTATACGACAATTGCATGTTTTTCTGAATATCATGACGTCAACGCAAAAATTGACGACATGAAGAGCTTTCTTGAGGATAAGGTAAACACTCCTCTCCAAGCCCATGCATCCGTTTCCTCTTTGCTGGCAAATCTTAACAGCCAATTGTCGTTGGAAAATGATGCACTGATGCTGCTTTCAAAAAAACTTTCAAAAAACGATCACTTTCTTGAGCTAAGGGCTCTTGAAAAAGATTCTGCCGAACTTGACGCTTGCTTGAAGCAAAAGACATTGCTTGCTGATTCAATCAGCCATTTAAGTGAGAGAGTTTCTAGCCTTTCTGAAGAGCGCATCTCACTTTGCGCTGATCTTTCCCGCGAATCAAAACTGGCAAATATAACATCAGAAATTGAGGCTCTCGTGGTTCGAAAGGCTTCTCTGGATAAAGAAAAGGCTCAATTGCTGGAATCAATTGCCCAGCAAGATTTACAGGCAAAAATATTGGCCGAAAAAAAACTTTTACACGAAAGGTCAAAGGCAGATCTGCAGATGCAATTGAAACAATCCAAGCTGCAATTGGAAGCTCTCAGTGAAACTGGAAAGACCATTCAGGGATCCTTTTCTCGTGCTCAGGAAATCGATCACAAGCTTAAAAGCGAATTGCTGTTTGAAAAGAACGAGGAGCAGTGTCTAAAGGAGGAACTTGCAAAGGTTTCTTCAAGAATATCGCAAAATCACTCGTCCATTAAAAAAACTCGGGCCGAACTCAACTCTTCAAAGGAAAGCATCGATTCGTGCATTCTGGCCATCAACAGACTGTTGAAAGAAGCCCCGCAACTGGCATCAGCTTCTTTTGCCTCGGTAGGCAGTACATCTCACATCGAACTGGACTCCAAAGTTCAAGCACTGCGCATTAAAATCTCGGAGATAAGGGAAAAGATCGCCAAGAAATCCGCTGAAATTTCCTTCAATTCGTCAAAATCAAAGGATTCCTCGCTGATCCAAATGATCGATTCGCTTGAGCGCCAAGAGTCGCATCTTCAAAAGAATTTGTCAAGAGTCAAGCTTGACAAGCAAAAAATCGAAGAGGCCATCGGGAAGCTTAATGATTTCAGAGAATCGGCTCTCAAAGACACGTTCTCTCGCGTAAACAAGGATTTTGGAGAAATCATCGGGGTGCTGTTGCCGCAATCTTTTGCCGAGCTCAATTTTGAAGGCAAAAGCATTGCCGATGGCGTTAATATAAGGATCCGCCTTGGTTCTGTGTGGAAAAACTCTCTGAATGAGCTCTCTGGTGGTCAAAAGTAGGGCTTTACAAACTAACCGTAGATCTCTTGTTGCCCTTGCCCTGATTCTTGCAATGCTGCAGTTTTCCCCGGCCCCAATCTACATACTTGATGAGATCGATGCGGCGTTGGATCTTTCCCACACGCAACATATTGGCTCTCTGCTGAAGTCCAAATTTTCGGGCGCTCAATTTATCATTGTAAGCTTAAAAGAGGGGCTGTTTAATCACGCCGACGTTTTGTTTCGAACAAAATTTGTAGATGGCGTCTCAATTGTCGAGCGCCACCAAAATCCCAACAAAGGCAAGCCCAAAAATAAAATGTCTTAAATTTTACTTTTTAAATTCCATGTCGGAGGGTGGCGCTGCTTCTGAGCAGCCTGCGGTTCCTTTTGCTCCAAAGTTTGTTTTCGATGGAAAGCGGATGCGTAAGCCGGTCTTCAGGAGAACCGTCGATTTCAACTGCTCTCTGATTAGACGCCTTAAAAACTACTATAAAGATTCGCTTTACAACAAAACTTCGCCTAGTTCTACTGATCCAAACTCAATAATTAATTTCCAGTCTACCAACGCATATCCACACTCACCCTCAAGCCTAGCCACCACTAAATTCATACATACGTCTACCAATAAAATTCGGTGTCCAGTCAATGTTGCAAAGGTATTAATTCATATCCTTAAGGTAGTGGACTCCAGAAGGCAGAAGGTTGATCACGGGATCCTCAAGTGGAGAGTTCACCCTTTGGAATGGCCTGACCTTTAACTTTGAAACCATTTTGCAGGTATTCTGATTGAATTTGACGCTTACCCGTAGGCACATGAGCAAGCGGTCCGTGCCCTTGCATGGAGCCATAATGGAAACTTTATGCTGTCTGGAGACAATCTCGGGTCAATCAAGTATTGGCAGCCAAACATGAACAACGTCCAAGTGATTCAAGGACATCACGAGTCCATACGCGATTTGACGTTTTCGCCTACCGATTTGAAATTTGCCTCGTGCTCCGATGATTCTGCCATTAAAATATGGGACTTTATCCAGGCAAAAGAAGAACGCCAACTGCGGGGACACGGCTGGGATGTCAAAAATGTCCAATGGCACCCAAACTTTTCGCTCCTTGCCTCCGGATCAAAAGACAACACGGTTCGTCTATGGGACCCCAGAATGGACCAGCCCCAGCTTGCATTGATGTATTTTTGTTGCCTCAATCTTTTAGACATGGTCATAAAAATACCGTTCTAGACATAAAATGGAACCAGAACGGGAAATGGCTATTAACGTGCGGCAAGGACCAAGTCATCAAGTTATATGATATTCGCAAGCTGGAGGAGCTCCAAACCTTTAAAGGCCATAAGAAGGACATCACAAGTATATCTAATTTTCTGATCGTTAGGCTTAAGTTGGCACCCATTTCAGGAGTCCTTTTTTGCTAGCGGAGGATTTGATGGATCGCTAATGTTTTGGAATATTGGGACCGAATCCAACGTTGGTTTGATTGATAATGCCCATGAGCAGGCCATTTGGTCCATGGATTGGCACCCCTTGGGCCATATACTGACCACAGGCTCAAATGATCATACAACCAAATTTTGGACTAGAAATAGGCCTGGAGAACTCGCTGTGACAACTGTCCAAGCATTTGAAAATAAATACAACAATGACCTTTAAAGGAATCAAATGTTCAACCGGTCGACAAAATGTCTGACCCCACGTACTTGACCATAGCCACTGTGCTAAATGCAGTCTAAGAATTCAACTTGGTGTCTTAATGGATGCAAGAGCCGCTTAAGTTTATTATCCATTGTCATGAGCTTGCAACTGAGTACATAGCGATGCCAACCACTTTGATGGATGTTTGCCAATTAGGAACTATTATCGATTGCTGCAGAAAAAAAACAGAATTCGGTACATAAATGAATCCAGGGTTCAAGCTCCTCAGTCCCATCATGTCAGAGGCAACGGGGAGCAGGCAGTTTGTTGTGCGTGCACTATTATTGGTATTCAAAAGATTTATTTCAGACTACACCACATCCAAAGGACTTGGGTTTTAAACCAAGTAAATGAATTGGTAAAGTGGGGTTACTTTTCTAGAGCCAAAACACCATAATGGGAGATGATAAAAGAAATCAGTGATGTTCATTAACATATGCGACTTCGCAATGGTAGGGAACATTTAAAAGTATACCATCTTGCTGATTGGAGTCCAGCTTTTGATGGACAAATATATTGGACTCGTTTGGCGTGTTTTTCAAGCACTTTATCGCAAGGATTCTACTCGGCTCCGGAAGGTCTACTATAAGTGAAAAGCAACGGGAGCCTTGGGCCGCCTGTGGCCTTGAAATTTGATATGAATTATAGGAAGAAGGGGCGTCAAGGTGATCAAAGCTAATACAAGAGGGACAAACTACGCTGCTAACAAAAGGAGAAAATCGGGCCTCTTGGGACGACTCGAAGCTATTTCTTTTTAAACTAAACAGCTTGGCCAGCGACCCAACTCTTATGGAAAAATCGGAAAGATAAATCGGGGGATACGAGTCGAGAAACTCGGTTTTCGAATAATTGTCATATTTTGAGAAATAATCAAACAATTGGAGATCAATAGGCGCAAACGAAAACACAAGCGAACGAGAAGGGACAGGAAGCGCAACGGCATCAGCATCGGAAATGTTTTTCCAGCTTGGACTTGTGGGAACATCAAGAGGCAAGAATTTCCCCATATCTTTGATAACCGAACCGACAATGGAATTGTTCTTAGATGGGAAAAATCCAATGGGAAGCGTAGCTCGAACATTTTCCAAGTCTTCCTCGAAAGCGAAGGTTCTGGATACAACGGTGTCCAAAATAAATCCGGTTGGAAAAGCCTCTAATTGCTGGCTGACGATGAACGAAGATGATGAATTACTAAACCCGATGTCTTTTCGCACATCGGTGAAAGATAAAGGCTTTTCAGAAATATTTGGATACAGTGACCAATCAATCAGATTTTTTGGAGAAAATGACTTTTGAAAAGATGCAGAGATCGAAAGAATAGACGAATTCACATTGGGTTTGGAAATCTTGATGAAGACGTCAAGAACGGAAACCTTTGCCTTTTCATAAGCCACTTGTTCCTTCACAATTTCATCTTTCGAAACTTGTTGCCTTGCAACCAATTCGGGTAACGATTTTATCCTATCAAAAGAGGAACCCTCAATAAAAGAGTTCCCAACTTCCAGATTGGATTTAGAGAGTTTTAAAATCGACGATAATTTAGAAATTGTCGCCTCAATTGATGTAATGGTTTCTCGTATCGGCGTATCAAAGGTAAGATTTTGCGAAATCAATTTGTCGTCAAATTCAGAAAAAAATTCCTCTGTACTGGTATAAGCTGGGAATAAGTTTGGAGAATGTGATAGCGTCCATAAGTAATATTGCTGCTGAAAGGGAACCACATAGATACTCAGCAAATCATGAAGTGGGATCATTTGTCCTTTGATAATTTTGGGAGAAACTTTTGACGAGCTGTACCAATGTTCAAAAATCTCAAATAGCTTTCTGCTTGAGAGCGTGGGTGCATCGTAGCAGGACTTGATTTTGTTATAAGACCAATGCTCCATATGGGATGAACGGATCTCCATAGACTTGAAATTAGATGGAAATAATAAATCTGACGAGCGGAAAAGACGGCATATTGGATAGCATTTGGGATTTTCGTGAACAAATAGCGGTATTTTTTTGGAGAATTCGGTAAAAAATGCTGGAGAAATCGCCTGCAATCGGAGACTCTTGGCGTTGGCACTCTTCAAATAGAGCTGGGTTAAGAGTAGCGAAAATTGATATTCCAGGCAAAATTTCAGATTCTCATAGTACCTTTCAAGCAACGGATCCCTAATTGACTTTAAATCGACTTCAATCAGAATGTCCAGATATCCTCCCAAGGAGCCGCTTTGGAACACGTGGGTTCCATATTTCATTTTTAGCGAGTTTGCAGCCGATTCGTCCTTAAACAGGGCGCCCAGATCATTTAAAAAAGGCTGCGACAGCCTTACTAGTGATGAATTGTAGGCCGTAGATGCAAAGGAAGACAAGAAAAACGACTCGGTCTCCATTGAGTATCTAAAGCGCAAAATCGAGGTGTCAAAATTTCCTGATTTGGAGAGACTGGGAAACGTTGAATTTGAAAGAAATTCCTTTTTAAACGAAAGATTGGAAACTCTGGTGGGCGTTGGGTCCCAGTGGAAAGCTTTTGACTTGAAAAACAAATTTTTTGCCCTTTCAATGATGCTTGAAGGGATCTTTTTACTAAGTGAATACAGCTCCGAAAATACCGGAGTGTGGCCAGAATTTTCGACCAAGTCCTCTATCTCACTGTAAAGTAGCGAATCCGAATTAAAGAAAATGGAAGTGGTCAAAGTCAGCTCTTTGAGAGCTTTGGGCTTTTGCATAAATCTGGCATTTCTTGGCACCAAAGATATTGAATTTGATGTTAAATATTCTGACATTGACGCTGGACACCTGCATTGCATGTGAAGGGAGTCAATGGGCCTCGAATCGGAAATTCTAGACATAATCGACGGTGTCACGCCACAAAATACTTCTCGCTCAATCTTCGAGATGTCTTTACCGCTATTTACATTAAAAACCTCATCCTCTCCAAACATGCATATGGGAGTGATATTTGAGTGGCTGACGTAAGAATACGGGACGGCTGTCAAAAGGTCGTTCATTTGTAAAACATTGGTTGCGGTAACATTTTCCAAGGGAATAACAAAGGAAAAGACCTTTTCATTCTGTTTTGCACCAGGAGAAAGACCAAAATACTTGAAAAAACAGCAAATCACCAAAATTAAAGCCAAAAGTACCGAGATAAGCACGGGAAGTAGCTTTTTGAAGACAGATGTGTGCTCTTCGATTTCTAAAGTATCTACAAGCTTCTCCTTTAAAATATTGACGTCAGTGTATGTAGTGTCGTGCTCCGAATATGGGGGCGGGGGGCTCGGATAAACGTCGTGCTTTTCATCATTCATAGCTTTAGCTTGATCTTGGAAGCAGATTAAAATTAAACTGATAATATTTGCAAAGCCAACCATTGGTGGGCCTAATTGCCAATAAAATTTATTGTGTGGCTCATTTAATTTTAACGATCTCGCTTGTGAACAGCAATTCCGACGTTGGCCTTTGTGTCGGCTAGAAAGGGTTAACACATCAAATGCGAATACATCTAAGGACAAAAGCGATTGAAGAAAGGTCTCCAATCTGCGCGAGTATCCCTTCAGTGTTATGCAGTCATGTGGACGTCTAAATCTTAAAAGCCCCGGCTCACTAAGATCATGTGATTAATGGGAAAGATGGGACCTAAATGTGCACATTTGATACAATATGCAGCCCAAAGACCAAATATCAGAGCGCGAGTCGTAGCTTGAGTTTGTAAACAATTCGGGCGCCATATAGGAAAGGGTTCCAATGAAAGTGTGGCTGCACGAGTGTTCGTCGTGGGACAGTATTTTCACCATTCCAAAATCGCCTATCTTCATATTGCTGTCGATAAAAATGTTCTCCGGCTTTAGATCGCGGTGGATAAATGGGATCGGCCCGTTATGGCAAGCAAATAGCCCCTCGATTAGTTGAGAAGCAACAATCCAGATGAAAGTCTCCGAAAAGGGGACCTTTGACTGGTTTCTTTTTGCAATAAGATCGGCCAAACTTCCGCCAGCACAATACTCCATGAAAAGATATACGCATCTTTTCTTGTAATTGATGGCCCATCCATAAAATTGCACAAACGAGGACGAAATCGGAGACGAACTAAGCGTTCGCATAATATTGACCTCCGAAATCAAATGACACCGTTCTTTAGGCGACATTCGCCCATAAAATATCTTTTTCCTTGCCAAAAACTACATTTAATCAAGGGAAAAAGCCAAACGGTCTCCTCGCCCACAGGCTTGACCTTGTGCACGATTCCATAAGAGCCTGATCCAAGGAAATTAAGGATACAGTATTTCCTGAAAATTAGCCCCTTCTCCGTGGTTGAGCTGCAGCGCATAAAATTAATTCACTTGCATGAACGCATTGTTAACACGGCCGAGCTGGGAAAATTGAACGTTCAACAATAAAAGGTGTGTAATTTGCCGCTGAGGCGCTGGTTTACAGGCCAATTTTATTGGCCAATTTTTAACCTCAATTGGAAACCCTATCCAGTGATTCTTCGACCGATTTTGAAACTTTACATTCATCAGTTTCCAATAAAATGCATTCTTGATTTAGGTGTATAGCTCAAATAGAGGCATTTTTCATGATGCTTTACATGATATTTCTCATCCTTGCTTATGTGATATCCATTGCTTTTGTTGATGCCGGCGATGATGCCTATCTGGCACCTTTAATCTTGGCCCCAAGACACGAAATTGGGATGTTCGGGGGCCACATGTCTCAAACGTTCAACAACAGATACATTGTGCATCTAAATCGCGAAAGTACTTTTGGATTTTCGCCGCGTTCATCGATGGCAGTTCTGGAGGCCCATCGACAAATGCTGCTCCAGGAGCTCTCCATGCCAGGCTCAAAATCATCCTTGGATCATACCTATGACTTTGATAGCTTTATTGGATATTCCGGGATATTTGAATCCGACTTGTTGATCAAGATCCGAAAGGATCCGGCAGTAAAACTGGTGGAACAGGATCAAGTTATGTTTGCCTTTCCCGACACTTCTTCAGAACTCTTTTTCGACAAGGATACCTTTTCCGCAACAAAGCAGCTGCTTTCGCTGACTCCCCTTGACCAATCCTTGTCTCTTGTCAACGATATCGTCAAGATGTTCAAAAAAAAGCGGCATTTGAAACTCAAAGGAAACCACGACTTTTTGTCGGAATCCTCGCTTTACAAAAGTGATTATGCAAGCAGACGCCCAAAGGGCTCAAAGTGCCTTGGGCAGGATAATGCTCCATGGGGCCTCTCAAGAGTTTCCTATAATCCGACCTATGATAACGATTTTATCAACAACGGCACATACTGGTATCCAAAGTCTGCCGGCTCCAATGTCAACGTGTACATTGTTGACACTGGCATCAATGTTGATCACGAAGATTTCAAAGGCCGAGCGCGTTGGGGCATTACCATCCCGCAATTTGATCTGGACACTGATGGCAGTGGACACGGCACTCACTGTGCCGGGATTGTGGGTGGCGACACTTATGGCGTTGCAAAAAACGCCACATTGGTTGCCGTAAAGGTATTAAGAACGAATGGATTTGGAACCAATGCTGATGTCATCAAGGGCGTTGAATGGGTCTTTAACCAGCATCGCATTTCTCAAAGGTCTGGAAGCCGATCCGTCATCAATCTTTCCCTTGGTGGCGGTCGTTCAATTGCTCTTGAAAAGGCTATCGAGGCATGCATTGACTCGGGAGTTCATGTTGCCGTTGCTGCGGGAAACGACAATCGGGACGCGTGCAACTATTCCCCTGCAGCCACGAAAAAGGCAATCACCGTTGGCGCATCGACAAAAAAGGATAAAATGGCCTACTTTTCAAACATTGGGCCATGTGTCGACATCTTTGCCCCTGGAATGGACATCACCTCGGCATGGATTGGATCGCCTACGGCGATCAACACCATTTCCGGCACTTCGATGGCTTCTCCTCACGTGGCAGGTGTGCTGGCCCTGCATCTGGGCGAGAAAGCTTATCACCCTCAGGAGCTGAAAGATCTATTATTGAAAACGGCCAACAATGGATTGCTAAAGCTGCTACCGCCAGATACCGCCAACAAACTTCTGTCCACAGATGCACTACTTACGGACGTTGAATTTTCCGCTCAAACTTTGGAAAACTCTGTGGATGACCTCTATGCATCACTATACTAGTAGCATCATTAATAATAAAATAATCCTTTTCTATTCATTGTCTTATAAATGATTACGGCCTCAACTTTGGGTCCGCGCCTATAGCAAGCGTGCCAGCCGTAGGCCAACAGATATGTCGGTTACAGACCAACATACAGGTCGACTATAACCCCCAACCCTAACCCTAAAACAATCCTAACTACATGCGCTTAACCCAAAACCGGAGCTGCAATAAAGACATTTACTATTTCTATTAAAGAATATTTTACTGGAAATGAACTAGGGTTAGACTGTTCAAGTGCCAATATGCTCTCATAGCGACTTGATAACCGAAAAATCTATCAGGGAAGAGGAAGATTGTATGCTTTCTCCAGAAGAATTGTCAAACGGCCGCTTCCCCCATCGGGCAGGATCAAAAGCAATGAAAAGAGCTAATATGGTCATCAAATATACAGTACTTTTTGACGATGCCTGTGGACTCTCCCTCGAGGCGGCTGCCGCCGCCACTGATGCGGCTGAAGGTGGCTGAACCCATATGGCGGCATCCCTATGCCATCTCCAACCCCGTCTGCACAAATCGGCGCAAATCGGCAAAAAGGACACTGCAGAGGAAGATTCATTGCCTCCAACAGCACAATTGTGATAAAATAAGAAAAAAGGAGCCTCTTCAGACAGTGTGCTTAGTTTGGCTGTAAGGCTGTTTTGCGTTCCCGGTGAATGGATGTTATAACATGGCGGTAGGAGCTGATGCAATCGAGCAGAAGGATTACCCCATGGAGAGACAAAATTCAAATATAGCGGTCTGCGAAATAAAGACGACGCTACTTACTCTGTGGAAGCTAGATCCAGGCCAAGCGAGGACAAGTCGATGCCGAGATCTAGGGCCGAGGCTAGGGGATCTGTCATCCGGATCAGCGAAAGGAGACCGGGAAGTCCATATGGATCTCCACCTTTGGGAATACCCCCTGCTACCTGCGGCTGCGACATTAATGTGGACGGTGCTGGCGAAATTTGAGACGCAGATGGCGGCAAAGGCGGGGACGACTTTTGGGGTTGGCTGGGCTGCGCAACCATGGATGATCAAAATTGAAAATTTCAATACTACGAAATTGAAGTGATATCAACCCTAACCCCCAAATTGGAATTTTCTGAATTCTATTGTGGATGGCATTTCTTTGGAGTGCTGCCTTCGGGGGCTCTACCTCCTCCGCATCCAGCGATGCTGCAAATAGAGAGGTTGCATTGATTTCAATCGAAAAAATTATCGAGCGCATGAAGACGGCAAGCCAGATGGACGAGATTCGCGCTGCCATAAAGGGGCTCAAGGGTTTCTCACGCCCCTATCCACTGGAGGTCGGCTCACTCGCCATAAGACCGTTGCTGGCAACAATAGTCGGCGCCATCCGGACAGAAGTTGAGGAGCCCGAGGCTCGTCACGGAAGACATCTTTTAGGTGCGGGTCCGCCCCCTTTTGATTCTGACGATGATACCTCCTTATATCCCGCTATTGATGACACCGAGACGCTGCTGGACATAATCAAGCTGCTGTATTATTTATGTAGGCCTCGGGATGCGCCGGAATTCAAATCAAATGTCGTCCCATTTGCAGAGATTATCATGAAGGAGGAGTCCGATATTCATGCCCTGCTGCATCTGCTTTCGTTAAACCATGACCTCGAGCTACGGCATCAACTGCTGCTATTTCTGGAACTTTTGCTGGACTATGATGCTTATCGGCTAACAGAGGTAGGCTCAGAGCCTTCCTGATATTATCAGATTTTGCTAAGCTCGCCGTTGGCTATATCCCACTTGGTGGCGCTCTTGGGCGAGCCCCAGGATATGCTCCGTGATACTGCACTCATGCTGTTGGCTAAACTGACGCAGGGACAGCATCACGAATTGCAGAAGATTGTTGCGTTCCAAGGTGCCTTTGACAGGGCTCTCAATGTAGTCGAGAACGAAGGCGGCCTTTCTGGTTGATATCTCAATTTTTATTGTAGGCTCTCGGGCAGTGGACGATGCATTGGCGTTGATAGGAAATTTGGTGGCCCGTAATCCCACCAACCAACGCTACTTTCGGGAAATTGGCGGTGACCAACGGCTATTGCTGCTTTTTCGGTCCACGCTTAGCGGAGCCAACTGGAATTCCCAGGAGCCGCATTTGGACAATCAAGGGCAACAAAATCGATCTGAGCATGGCGATTTGAATGGAGAAATCGCCATTCAGCTTGGGACATTATTTCTTGGGCATATCATCTGCAAGGGGCTTTTGGTGCCGCTAGCAACACCTAGCACCTTGCTTTCACAAAGCGCATTGGGGGTCAATGCGCCTTTACCATTTCTAACGCTGCTTTTTGATGCATTAAAAGCGTCCGTGTCGCTAGCATGGACCTCCATGACTACCAGAAGTACTACGAGCCTCAACCTTCGGCCGCTTTCATACATTCAGCCAGAGCTTATTGTGGGCGTGCTGGAAACAATCGGCCATCTTATCTACCAACATCCGGAAAACCAGGCATATTTTTTAACCCATACGGCAGCAGGCTGGGGGTGGGATGTCCATCTTGCACTGATTGCGACTTCTCCCATACTCTCTCTCACCGTTGCCGGAGGCGAGGCGGTAGAGCTGGCCATCAGAGACGCCGCTTTGTTTATATTTGCATCACTAGGCGATTCCTTGTTAAAGACAATTTCACGCTGCCCAGAAAATAACACTAGCGCCATCAATGACACTGCTGTCGGCGTTCATACCAATGAGGGAATCCACGGAATTGCAGCTGATTCCGTTGGAAGCTTTTTTGAGGCAGAGGGGGGAATCCCTGGGAAGACCGTATCTGTGCCGACTCCGATCAGCATTGCTGTCCAAATCCTTGTAGAGTCAGAATGGGAAGGTAGCTCTTTGTGGCCGGTTCATTATGCCACAAATATCCTTATTGCGTATCTGCACCATGCTCAAAACAGTACTGAGCTGCGGGAATCCCTCATTCCGCTGATTGGAATTGATTCTAATCAACTTGCTGTGCCTACCCGTGGTGTAGATTCACGCTCCCGTGAAGATCTATTGCCTGCAGTTACGAACCCCAAACGGCAACACACCGTTTTTGGGAGCACTGTCTCGTTGATACATCTTGTTATGGCGAAATTTCTTCGCCCTTCGCATATCAATTTGTCAGTTCTAAAAGGGGACCCTGGTGCTCTGCGGGTCTCTCAGAAGGAGCGAGCTGGTATTGTCGTGTGCAAGTCTCTTTTCGCATTGCTGATCCACCTTGGAAACCTGCATATGGAAGCGCTTTTTGAAGCATTTGCAAGCGAACAGGGCACCGTTTCAACGGCCAACCTTCATATGCTGGTGGAATGGATTTCGCCGACTTTCGATGCAACTCTTCTCGGTGGCCTTGCTGCTTTTCTCTTTTCACAGCTGCTATATTCTGCCGCCTTATTGGATCGTCTTTGGGATAGCGAGAATCCGGAGGATCATGGGTCCCAGGCGAATAGTGTCCATCGCAGAGATGCCCACATTCTTATGGAGCTACTGCATGTCAGGGTGGGCATCGATGCTGTCGCTTCAAGGCTTGCATTGTTACAGCAGCATCTCTTTTCGCGGTTCCCAGGTCATGCTGCGGCGCTTCCTGCTTTGCTACAAGAATCCGGACCTGCGAATCCGGCGTTTCTGGATGCATCGACCGTTGAAATCATCAGACGCTCCATGGGTATGGCCGTGTTACTTATTCGTAGACGACATTCAAGAATTTCTTCGGGCTTCGCAGCGGCGGGTCCAGGCCGCACATCAATCGACTTGTGTTTCACTACCGCGCATTCAACGCAGTCCTCGCTTGGTTGAGGAAGCCCATCTTTCTAACCTTCCACTACATGTCCGAGAAGTCTTGAGTGCTAGCGAACGGAGCACTCAGGCACTCATTGCTGCCAAGGAACAGATGATAATCGAACGCGACACGCGAATTGCGGAGCAATGTGCCGCAATTTCAGAACAACGCGTGTTTCTGGAACAGGCGACTGAAAAGATCGCCGAACTTTCTGCGCAAATCTCTTCATTGGAGGAGTCTCGATTGAGAGTGATTTCCAAGCTTGAAGGTCAGCTTGAAAGTCTCACTTCATCCTACACTGCGCTAAGACGTGAACACGACCAGCTGCTGATTCTATTAACCGACCTAACCTCACCCAAAGGCATGAGCACCATAAATGGAACGTCATTGGCGCCACTGGAAGCCTCACAGGCACCGTCAGAAAAACTCTTCAGCCCCTCACAACGTACCATGGCCAAAGAAGCGGATGCGGTAGACGCTCCTTCACCTACTCCTCAAAAGACCGGTGCATTAGCTTCTGTGATCCCTTTGTTATGGAAAATGGTGCCCACTCCCATTCAGAACCATCTTGGCCCTGCCAAAGCCCAACATAACTCTTCTACGGATTCCAACAAGGCAATAGTGGAAACTGACACCGCCCCTATGCCTGTGTCTGTGAACGGCTCTGCCCAAAATCATATGCCCGCAAATGTGCACGCCATTGCTACACTACCGGTTAACGGCGCCGATAATTACACAGTGAACCCCGTTGCACAACAGCATCATCTGAAAGTTATGCCCGTATCCCCCGGTCTGCAGAATGATCGCCCAATTGGTGCCCAGCCCTTTCCACTAGACCATTGTAATGGGATACATGAGCGTTTTTCCAGTTACATACCGATTGCGGAAACATCATCTTCCATCAACTACCCTGCTGGTACATACGTAGAGCCGCCCCCGCCTTCCATCGGCTATCCTGTGGGCAACTATGTAAAACCACATCCATCCTCGGATATACATCCACATAGTGCAGCTCATGATGCATATCTTTCATTTTCCTCCCCCTTGGAACCGATGACGACGATGCCGCCGGCAGATCAGATGCCCTCGAACAAAAATCCCGACCCAGAGCCCTACTTCAGCGCGCCCCCAGGCACGATCCACCCATACTACCTGCACATGAACTACCACAGCGTTTCCTTTGAGGATAGCCTCGGGTTTGTGCCTCAACCCGAATCAGACTAATAGAGTGTATATTGAGATAAATTTGAAACGTATGTGTAGTTATGCAGATACATACAAAGTTGGCTGCATTTGAGGGTCTCGCTTGCGAATATTGACAAGGGGATCCTCGATTCGGATTGCTTATTTATTAGTTAATAGTCCAGAGACTCGTCTGCATCTTCGTTTTCAGAAGCATCCTGATCAGACTGCTCCCCAGGCTCTGCCTGTGTATTGGGTACGATTTCACCCTGTCGCCATTTTCTGGCCATTTCCAATAGCCGCATGGCAGCCGTGTTTTCTTCATGGGCATGTGCGTCTGTGGAAGACTGCGCCAATCGACCTTCTTCGTCAGATGCCTTTTTCCATTCGCCTGACTCGCTGTCAAACACTGGCCGTTTGTGATGCAGCCATTCGATAGGCCGGTTTTGGGCAGCCTCGTGAGCAATGTATGCGTCAATAATTTGGGCCAGCGCTTCATATGTTGGGGTGGCTTCCTCCGCCTCAAAGTGGGCGAGCGCGCGTTCCCAAGTGCCGGGCTCCAACATACATAGTGCAAGCCAGGGTTCAGCATCATATGGTGCCAACGAAATCCAACGCCCAAGCAGTCCAATCTGCTCTTTAGGCGCCGTTTCGGAAAACTTAAGTGCCGCCCGGATCAACTCAATCGAGGATGACGGTGTTGCGTGTTGTGCAGCGTCAATAGCGATTTGTAGAAGCGACTTGGCCCGTTTGGTGTCCCCAAGAGCCTCCTCTAATGAGGCCCAGCTGAGCCACGCCTCATGCGCATCTGGGCGCCACAGGACCCAACGTTCATATAGCTTCCGTGCCCTATCAAATTCCTTCATCTTGAGCTCAATGTTGATATATGCGTTAAATAGAGACCGACGCGGGGTCCGGCCTACGGCCACCCCCAGAATGCGCCGTGCCCTTGCGATGTTTCCATCTCGTATGAGCGCCTTTGCTAGCATGGTCCAGAGCTTGGAAAAAGACCATCCCGCATTGAGCGGTATTGTGTTGATTGCGCGCTCCAAAATGGCAATGGCATCCTTATTGCAGGTAAAGTCCAGCTCTGTCCACACGGCATAATAGATCCACAGATAAATATACCTACACTAGTCAGTGATAGCTCCATCATACCTGCGCCAGTATTGCTTCTCCAAAGAAAGAGGCACCATTGCTACAGCCCGTTCAAAAAGCAGCTGCACCGTCATCTGGTTGTGTGCGGAAAGCATTGATCCGACCGTTTGCGAGGGCCCCGCTTTGATGTCAGATTGGGGCTCAACGGTGGTATCATGGCCGGGCGTTGGCATTGCCAGCAGTGGAGGCATGGCCGCAAGCTCTTGTTCTAGCCATATCCGCTCAAACCATGTGTCATATGCATGCGGATTGGCCTCTAGCTCTTGCTCGTACAGCTTGGCGCGGCTCTCCAGCACAACTCGCTCTGTTTCTTCTGCGGTTCCAAACTGCTTTTCAAACTGCGTATATCTTGTGAAGAGAGGCCCCGCAGCGGCTTGTGGAAGTGTGGTAAGCGCCCGCTGGAAAACTCGACGCGCGCTCTCGTGGTCACCTCGCCGAATTTCGAATTTGGCAAAAGCAGTGAAAAGCTTTGGCGCAGCCCGGTCGCCTAACGAGCCAATTGCCTCTTCATAAAGAGCCCTAGAATTCTCGATGGCTCCAAGAGACTCTTCCCACTTGGCTGCATCGATCCATATATCCGAGTCCGTGGGAAACCGCTTTAACATGCGTCCATAAATGGCTCGCGCTCGTCCGGTCTCTTTGTAGCGCATTTCCAGCTTGATGTAGGACAGAAATGCAGCAGATGGCGGTTGCCAACCTTCAATCCAGCGCTCAAAGATTGCTCGCGCACCGTCGATGTTCTGAAGCTTTTCCTCAAAGTACGCCCACTTGTACCAGAATTGGTCGATGCGTGGAAGCAAAGAAACTGCTCGATTCCACACATTTCTTGTGTGCTGGATGTTGCCGACTTTCATTTCCATTTCAGCATACTTGAGCCAGATGACGGGATTGCGATAGTCCACCTCGAGCACGCGCTCGTAAAGGGACCTGGCCCGTGCGCGCTCCTCCATCTTTTCCTCCCAAGCGGCATACTTGAGCCATGTACCGATGGAATTTCTGTTTCTTCTAAGGGCATCCTCAAAGCCCTTTCTTTTTACATGAAGCTGGTCTGCAGATTCCTGCAAAGACTCGGCATCGAGACTGCGCTTCTGAGCCAACTGGCGAATAGTGGGCTCTGAACGCTCTGTGGCTTCTCGGAGCAGCTGCTCTGCAGTTATTTGGATATCTGCAGGGGCCTTGTTCTTGACGCGACTCCCTCTCGATGCAATCAGACGATCCGAATTGGAGGAGAACTTTGCATACGAATAAGTGTCCATCGGCAAGTTTAAAAGTGGCACCGGGTTTAATGCGCTAATTATTTAATTTTTATTTTAAATTGGCCTCAATTTTTGTTAACTCAACTTGATGCAGCCACCAAGGACACTAAAAATTTCACATTCGCAAATTAACAATTGACCGTTTGTGTGTAGGCGCCCTAATTATGCGAGCCGAGCCTCAAAATGTCCTCCTCTGTCCACAACGAAGAGCCAAGCTGAGCCTCTCTCGGAAGTGGCTGTGCAATACCTTTGAAGAATTTTCGTATCAGCGAAAGTGCAGAATCGGTACACAATCCGTTTTGGGAATCTGGCATTGCTCTTCCCATCCATAGAGGCAATTTTTGCCTCTGATCTGCCCGTGCATACCTCTTGTCGGCAAGTATCATCACACCATAGTCTTTTTTTCCTCGGAGCACACGGCCTACGTGTAAGAGGGGGTGAAAAGATACCTAAACATTGCGCGGCTTGCCTCAGTGCGTCAAAGGATAGAAAGTCTCCCTCGCTGATTCCGACCCTATCCCGTAAAAAAGAGAGTCTAGCGCGTAGGGTTCTGCTTTCTGTATATTGGAAAGGCATTCCGACCATCAATACGGTGCGTCCATATGGACCGTCAAAGTCAACGCCTTCTGAGACCTTTCCTCTGGCAACGCTCAACAGCACAGCTCCACGTCCGTTTTCGCAGGCCTATAAAAAGAAGGCAGTACTTACTTGACGATAGCGCATAAGGGCCTCCGCAGTGGCACTCCCGGACTCCTCTTCGACGAAAATCAATTTTTGTACTTTTGCAAATATTCCCAATTCATTCCATGAAGCTATCATTTTTGACATGTACAAATAGGATGGAAAGAACACCACCAACCCATCTGGAGTGACAGAAGAAACTGCTATCAGGAGCTGTCCATAGTTTCGCACAATAGAGGGATCATGCCGTGTGGAAAACCTTGAAGAAAGAGGTAGCTGGTCCGATCCCCTTGTTACGGATAAAAGCAAAAAAGAGGGCCTCGTCAGTGAGATTTCCAGCGATTCTGCAAGCGCAGGCCTAAACCCAAGAAGCCTTGGAAACATCGTAAGGGGAGAAAGTGTCCCGGACGTGATTAACACGGACGAGAATTTCTCAAAAATTGGCCTCATCGCTATAGTAGCATCGAGACAGCTCAAAAATAAAACGGGAACTGTATTTTCACCCAAAGTTTCCACGTCAACGGGGTCAAAGAAAATTAGAAAGGTCCCCTGCTCTTTCCCATACGTGCTCATAATGGATGCAAAGAGCGCTGTCTTTTGAAGAGAGCCCATGTACTCCAAATGCGTTGATTCAAGCGAACGAACCAAAGAGGAAAGTCTTTCGGCCAAAAACCTGAACTCAAAATAAAAGACTTACTGCATTGGCTTTGCTTCTATCATAGAGATCTCCTTGGCGGCGAGCATAAAAGACAGTGGCGTTTCAGTGGTTGGGCTGCGACCTTTCATAATGGTCTTTAGATATTCGACCCATCTCCTAAGAAGGCCTAGGAAATGCTCTGCCTTCCGCAGGTTTCCCGGTAAAACCTCATCCAGAAGATTATCTGGAATTCCTATGGATCAAAGAAATCGATACGAAACCTGAGCCAATAAGAAGGTCGGTCAAAGGGAGATTTTGAGCATTGTTGGCTTGGCGTAAGCCCATTATTAAGCGATTATAGTCCTCCGTGAGCTTTTGGAGATCTGTTTCTTTTTTTTCCTGCACACGCTGCAGAAGCGCATTAATTGCTCTCGTGGAATTATCCAATGTCCATGGTGTGATTTTGACCGACAAACCCTCAATGCACACCTGGTCAATATTATGGGCCTCATCGAAAATCACAATCGATTCCTTCGGCAAATCCTTACATACCAAGTCAGATATTTTTGGGTCAAGGAGATAAGGATATCCAAAGATGACAATGTTAGCCTCAAGCAGCGCTTTTCTGGCTAAAAAATAAGGGCAAAGCCCTTTGGATGTGCAAATTTCTTTCAGAGAACTAAGCGTATATACATTTGGCCTTTCCAATAAAGATCCGACTCCATCGGCTGAAAGAAGTTCCAGATTTTCAAAATAGTCGCATTTTGGCGAATTAGCAGACGCTCTGGCCCAACTTGCTGTCCGTTCGTGGCATTTCCCATCAATTATCCGACCAATGGGAACGGCAAACCGGTCTCCTTCATTTGAAAGTTGAGAGGAAGATGATTGGACATCACTATTAATGCACAGATTTTTTCTAGAACTCAGTCCTATTCCAAGGAAATCCGATAGGCCAGGATGGGGAATCGGCTCGGTTTTCTAGAGCTATGTGAGAAGCTACTAAGCATACCAGCCGATATTGGATGATGTTTTTCAGCTCCTCCAATGCCTTATCGATTTCTGGAACTGTTCTAGTGCAGTAGATGATCTTTGCGACTTTCTCTGGATAGTCCAGGTGATATGAAACGACCAAAGATAGAATTGCGGCCGTTTTTCCTGTCCCCGAAGGCATCTCAATCAAGCCGTGACCCTAAAGTATTACGACGCACGCTACCTTTGCATCTAAGACCCTCTTGAGAGAGCACATATATTTATATTGTTCGGGGTATATGGTTTCATAGGGGAAATATATATCAAGCTCGTCGATTTTGAATTTCATAAAAAATGAACAATTTATTATTTACAGACCCTTGGATCCTCCTGGTCTTTTTTGGAGAAGTTTGGAGATTCACGGAACACCATGTTGAACCTATGATCACGATGTGCATTGAGAACCTTCCAATGCGCCTAAGAACGGAGATTTTGCTTAAATATAGACGAAGGACCCCGTCCTTGAATTTCTGCGCCATTCTAAATTCGATAAACTGTGGTGATACCCCATTTGCAACCTCAGGATATCTCCTGGACGAATCGGGCTTCCAAGTTCGTCCCATACATATAGCTCAATAGATCCAGATTCATCCGCTACAAGAACAGTGAATATTTCGTGTCCGTCTTTAGTAACCTTGCGCTCTAACGTTACACTTGATATAAAGTACCCTCTATCCTCAATACGATGAATTGCATATTCAGGCTTTTTGCGTTCTGCTTTACCTGTCTAATTAGGGTACTTTTGGGTCCTATGGTTGTTGTTGCTGTTGTTGATGGGCCAGGCAGCATCGTGCCCGATGCTGCAGCAGCCGTTGATTTTAACATGCACAAATAAAAGAAGCAAAACTAAAAAATGAAATTTAGTGCTGACGAATTCGGTGTATAAATTTTCGTTTAGGGGGAGCCTTTTATTATGCTGACCCTTTGTATCGCCAACCTGATGGGCTTTTTTAAAAAGAAACTCCATCCTACCGTTGCCAAAACATAAATTATTTGAAAATTCGCGCACCAAACGTCTTATCGATTGAACCAAATTGTGGTGCATTTATGGGCATAAATGAAACAAAAATTAAATCAATTTTAGTTGCGCTGAATTTCTTCAGCTACCAATGAACGATCCACTTTATGGTAAGAAAAAGTGAATTGCCTTGGTAAAAACTTTAATAGCGAGAAGAAATTAATATAGACGAATGGGTTTTCCCATAGAAGACTTGAGGAAAACGGAGCCAATATTTTGCCATCCCTTTTTAAGCAGGGAGACAAGGTAGTTGGTCGACAACATCACGTTTGCAACAAGCTCTTCTTCAGACATCTCAACAGTTCCAACAGCAATTCCGAGACACGGGCTCTTTTTGTATTGGAATTTGACGGTTGCGCGGAGCTCTTGGACTTTTTCGGCAATTTTGTCGGCATGGGAAATTGGGGTGGGAAACTTTCCTGCCTTGTTGAGACCAGGACCTAGCAGCTTTGGAATTTGTTTGATGACAACATCACTAGAAAGGAATGCATCGAAAGACTTTGCAAGCTTTTTGACTTCCTTCTTGTCTTTGTTGAGCTTCTTGAGATCATCAACAGATCGGAAGGGGATGCCGAGAGCCTTTGCTTGATCGCAATGCAAAGCATCACCGAGAACACAGACGGTGAGATTTGGGCGAGAAACGTTTGGAAGCTTGATGCTACCTCCAAAACGCTTGTCACGGTTGGGGTCATAGCTTTTAAGCCCATATTGGACCTCAACAGACTCGATAAAATTTCTCTTCGTCTCGGGGTCGTTGGAGCTGGAAAGCACAGTATTTATGGAAGTGCGAACTGTAGCAACAGATACTTTTGAACTACGAAAGTAAGTATGATGGATGCAATGGGGAGAGAAAAATTAGGAGTAATGTCCAGGATGCCTACCTCATTGAAAATAAACTTAAAATTTAAAAGTTCTTTTTATTTAAAAAGTATGTCGACTGTGTCTTCGCCATCCGCCCCCATAAGTGGTGCTATTTCTGGCAGAACGCTTTACCTTAAAAATCTGAATGACAAAATCAAAAAACAAAGTACATTACCAATGCTAACCCCTAGCTTTAAAGAGACATCTTTATGCTTTATTTATGTCTTATGGCCGGGTTGTCGACATTGTGGCTCTGAAAACGATGAAAATGCGAGGACAAGCCTTCATTGTGTTTGAAGATCAAGTGGCATCGGCGCTTGCTCTAAAATCGCTTCAAGGGTTTTCGTTTTTTGGAAAGCCTTTGGTAAACTTTGCTTGGTTTATTTTTGATAGAGAATCTCATATTCCAAATCCATTAGCAAGTCCGACCCAGATTTTGTGCTATTCCAGCAGGAGGAAAAAGAGGATGGTCATTTTGATAAAAAAAGTACCTTTTTTTCACTTATAAAGCAGGGAAGATTGATTTCTCAGATGACGTATCGGCAAACACACAGCCCGAGTCCCAGGAGTCTGATGACAGCGAAGGCGACAAAAGTGACCATTAGCGGTGGCAAATCGATACATGTAGATGCAAATAAACTTTATTTTTTATTCTTTTGCTCTGAGAAGAGGAAGAACCATTCGGCCTCCGATGTTGAACCCGCACTGATAGAATACTCCTTTGATAAAGGGAGATGCTATGAATAAGAGACACCATTTCAGCCAGTATTTAGCGTCTGAGTTATTTTTTCGGTGATTCATTCTCAAAAAGGATTGTTCTCACACCACAACTAATAAATCCAGTAATAAAAGGGATTAAAATAAAGGAAAGAACAGCGGATGGTGCGTCAGATAAAAGCTGCTTGGTAGCGTGTGTGATTTGTGCAAAAAACAGAAAAAAACTGCCAACGGGGCAAGGAGATCGCGGTTGATTGTCTTTGTTCTTCTTTAGCGCCAATGAAGAATCGGAAACAATCGCTTCTTGCAGCATTAAAAAGTGCAATTTAATCAATTTGAAAAATTTTAAATTAAAATTTACATGATCACACCCAGGGCTCCCTTGTTGTTTTCCCTGTTCCGTCACTCTGTGCCAAACACAAGGTGTTCATATTTTCGCAATCATGTGGACCTCCAAAATTTCTATTCGCAATATTTGCGATCCTTTGTTTCTTCGTCCAGAAGTGAAGAGCATGGAGAAATAACCACCTCCCCAGGTGAAACACTCATCCCTATGGAGGGCGTTCATACCATTGTAAATAGCGAAAATCTTTCCAACTATTCAGCCCAAAATACTGCTAAAGAAGATTTCTCTGGTAAAAAAAATTGGACTGGCACCATCGATACGCAGGCTTTAATTGATGCACTTTCTTTGCAATTTACCACGGCTCAGGCGGAGGCCCTGGTTGTGGTCATGCAAGATATTGTCCGAGAAAAGCTTTCAACCGGAGTGATCTCAAAACAGCAAATAGATACCGACTCCCAAATGCTTAAAGCGCGATGTCATGAGATTAGGTTGGATCTTCAAATCCAGCAATCAAAAAATGCCACTGCAAGGAAAGCGTTGCACGAGCGGTGTACAAATGAAATCCAGTCGACCATTGAAAAGCTTCGAGATGGCGTCGATATGTTGCAGTCTGATGCCAGAATGCGGCTTTCGCTTTTCAAGAGTGAAAATAGAGAGGAACTCTCAAAAATTGACTCATCCGTGCACCATGAAAATTCACAGCTTGCCTTACAAATTTCGGACATCAAGACATTTATGGAGGGCGTCAAAGTACGCCTTATGTTCAAGTTTACGATCTTTCTAATCTTTGCTCTGTTGGCTCTTGTCCTGGAAAAAAATATCAAGAAGAGCAGATTGGATACACCGAGCAAAAGGCCATCTGTGGAGTCATCAAATGGCTCTTCACAGCCCGATGTGCTTCCCACAACGGATGAGTTACTTTTATGAGTCTATATGCGATTTTTCCGGTCATGGCGCGATAGCATGCATCACTTATGGCTCTGTGAAGACTATTTTTGATGCTTGGAGATTTTGCCGGCATACAATAGTTGTAACCCCGAAATTTCTACGGCCGTTAAGACAAAGGAAGTTTTTTAAACATCAAAACATGCTAAAAACATAAATTTGGACTGGGTTAGAGCACACATGATATAGTGTATGGGCTGTATGTATATCGATGTGCTAGATTAAAGATCGAGTCTCGAAGAGTGATGTTAAAATACTTTATTGGGCTTACATAAATCCAATCTATAAAATATAAGCAACGAGGAGGATAGATACCTTGTAGGCAATATCTGCTGCATCGGTACTGGGGCTGAGGCGGACATAAGCCTTCTTGATGCCATCAGGGCTAAAAATAAGAAAATGGTCTTACCGAATCAAAGTATTGATTTTAATTGGTGTGAACTCATACAGTGTCTTCAGCGCACGTTTGATCTGGTGCTTTGAGGCGCGGACATCGCAAAGAAAAACAAGAGTGTTGTTCTCCTCCATTTTTCGAATTGCAGACTCGGTGCAAAGGGGAGATCGGATTATGGCATGTGCATCCATGGAGTTTTTCTTTGGAATGGCTTTGCGAACATACTTAGGAGTACGCGGCAGACGAAGTGTCTTTGGGCGATAGAAGTGGGTGGATGTTCTGATTTTCTTTGTTGCCTTTGAAGCAACACCCTTAAGTGCAGCCTTCCTAGATGCAAGTGCTGTTTTCTTGGCTGCAGATGATGCTATCGAGAATTAGGGTAAAATACGTCGTTTTAGGATGGATGATAATCAAACAGAGGAGAAAGACTTACCAGTGCTAGGCTTGGAGTATGCGGAAGACATTAAATTTCTAAAGTTTAGTAAATTTTAAAAATTGAATTTTTTACTTCCTTAATGCATTACAGTCCTCGTTTACTCCATGGCGAAAATGAGGTTTCTCCGCGTAAAGGAGTGCTTCGTAAAAACTCTACCTTTACCGTTGAGGATCTTTCCTTTGCTAAAACAAAAAAAGACTTGACAATCGGCGATAATAGCCTGAACGATAACTCGGATCTTGATTTCATCGATGACGATCCGGACCTTTCTTCTGCAATGTCCGATGATGATGAAATAGATTCCAACGCAGAGGAGCTAAATTTTAGCCAAGAGGAGATGAAGTCTGATGAGGAAGATATAAAGTCTGATGAGGAAGATATAAAGTCTGATGAGCAAGATATAAAGTCTGATGAGGAAGAAATACAATCCGCCAGTAACGATCTTAGTGAATTTTTAGATGAGAAAGAAGAAAGAACGGCCAACGTAGCGCAAATGAATATCACGTCCGATCTTGCTACCTTAAAGAAAAGGATTGAAGAGACCGTTTATATTTTGATGAACTTTTCCAAGGCTAGAGACCCAAATACTTCCCGTCCCACCTACTGCAATGCTCTGATTAAGGACCTCTGTCTTTATTACGGATATTCGGAGTATTTGATCACAGAACATTTCTTCCACATGTTTTCAGTTGCAGAGCTTATCCAATTCTTGGAAGCCAGCGACGTTCCTCGTCCCGTTACCATTCGTACAAATACACTTAAAATCAAGCGACGAAGGGATCTTGCAAAGGCTCTCATTGGCAGGGGCATAAATGTTGACCCACTCGCCATTGGGGATGAAACGGAGGATGACAACGAGGCATCGTCGTCCAATGCTTGGTCGGCCCTTGGCCTTCAGGTCTTCCATGATGGAGGAGATGATAGATCCTCCGGCAATGTTCCGCTTGGAGCAACACCGGAATATCTTTCGGGACTATATATGCTGCAAGCAGCCGCGTCGTTCCTTCCTGTTGTGTCTCTTGCACCTGCTCCTGGAGAGCGAGTTTTGGACATGTGTGCAGCACCGGGCGGCAAGTCTACACACTGCTCGCAACTGATGAAAAACTCTGGTCTGCTACTTGCCAACGATCTTTCCAAAGATCGCCAGAAAGCAACTGCCGCAAATATTTACCGCCTTGGAGTGCGCAATGCCATTATTTCCGTTATGGACGGACGACAGCTTCCCTCCCAATTTGGGGCCAACTTTTTTGACAAGGTGCTTTTAGACGCTCCATGCTCCGGAACTGGAGTCATCTCGAAAGACCCTACCGTCAAAGTTTCTAAAGAAGCTTCTGACTTTAAGCTTCTTACACATACGCAAAAAGAATTGATTTTAACGGCCATTGACTTGGCCAGTGCCAATGATGGCGTTATTGTCTATTCCACCTGTTCTGTTTGCGTCGAAGAGAACGAGGAAATTGTTCAATACGCGCTCGAAAAACGGCCCAATGTCAAGCTGGTTGAGACGCGCCTTCCATTTGGACGTCCCGGATATGTCAACTATCGTGAAAAACGGTTCTCTTCGTCGATGAAGCTTACGATGAGATATTATCCCCACGTGCACAACTTGGACGGATTTTATGTGGCCAGGTTTATCAAAACATCTTGTTTTCCAAACCCAGCAGGTAGAAATGTCCAGACCGAGGCGTTGGCGGCCCGTGATGAAGGGAAATCCCAGTGACACGTGTACACCGAATTGCAGTAAATTATTTTCCTTATTTCGTTATTTGTAATTTTGTAATCGCACATTTTGGTAACGCAAATTTTCATCGTTCAACCACTTGGCGCGTGTGATGGCGGCAGTTGACGAGGCCAAGTTAAACTCGTTTTTGCACAAAGTCGTCACTGATGATGCTGCTTTGGCTTTGATATGCGTATGTATGTTCACGCCTAATTCTGGTAGTCTGGCCCGACCGCCGTTCCACTAGAGCAAAATACGATCAGATTGCTTGATAACATATCAACCGGCCAGCGCGGCGCTGTCTCGGCAGAGTATTTCCTTGCAATGGGATACTATGTGATTTTCTTCCATCGGACCAATACAAAGTTGCCCTTCATAAGGCAAGTGACCAGCGAAGATATTTCGTCTTTTGCAGGTACGCATTTCAGCGCTCATCAAAGTGGACCAAACCAACAACACGCTACATTGCACCCCGATCGTAATTGAGGCGCTTTTGAAAAGGAAAAAATATGCAGACCGAATGCTCCTGTTTTCGTTTTTTTCTTTCCATCAGTATCAAGCAGGGTTGGAGATCATTTGCACACACGCCCATCGCTTGATGCGGTCAAAGCTGCTCATTTTCCTTGCTGCCGCCGTATCTGACTTTACGCCCAGTGATGTCCCGTTGCACAAAATCAACTCATCAGTGGCAGATTTATCTGAAAATCTGACGATAACGCTCAAGCCAACTCCAAAAGTTGTTCAACAAATAACCTCCTCTTGGGCGCCGACGTCAATGATTGTTTCTTTCAAGGTAACGCGTTTCCCCAATCACCTTAGCTTGAAACCGACAAATCCATTTTGAAGCAAAAAGCCATTGGTGCTCTTGAAAAATACAGGTGCTCAGCCATAATAGCAAATCACCTGCCATCGATCAGGAGCAAAATGATGCTGATATGGAAAAAGACCACTTTTCCCACTTTACATTGCCATCAAAAGGGGGCTGAAGTGAATGGCAATGACGATTGTTTTGTTTTCCGCGAAATTGATGTCGAAAATGGAGACATTGAAGAACCCATGGTCAATCTGCTAGTCCAGCTGCATAGTGCGTTTTTATAAGCAATTTTGTAAATTCCTACGACCACTTTGATTGCCCCGTTAAATTACAATGCCATTTATAATAAATTTCAAGTTCAGCAAATTAATTAAAAATGCAGTCTCTTGCCCCTGGCGTCACCGTGCGTCCAATGGGCGGGCGCTCCCTCACCGCTCACCAGGAGGAGGACGCCTCCCATTTATCACTCGGCACAGATTTCCAGAATGCACACACGCTTTTCAATGCAGAGGTGGCCATTTTGCTGAAACAAGTCCAGCACGATCGGCAGCAAATGGCAGAAAACAATGCATATGGCCTTCAAGGCCACCAAGCGGGCGCATCACCGCCAGTGCCGCTGTAGCCGTCGTTATGCCTTTATGTTTATAGGGTTTTGTCAAAAACACACACTTACGCCTCCACATTTTCGCGATTTGGCCATCGAGAAATGACCCAACATATACGCCGCATCTTGTATGCCACTGGAAAGCTGGCCGAATTTGAAATGGCCCAGCTGGCAAATTTGTGTCCCGAGACCGCAGAAGAGGCCAAGACGCTTATTCCAAGGTATCCTTATTTGCCTTGTCTTTTCGTAGCTTACAGGAAAAGTTCCGGGATGACGACGATCTCCAGGCTCTTTTGGAACAGATTGCAAGTGCTCGTAAAATGCAGGCTTTTTAAACTTTACGGTTGTAAAATAAAATTCATAATTTACTCTTTTTTCTTTTACACTTGCGCGATTTCCCCTGATGTCGGCGTGTGGGTTAGTTTCTTCGCTACCGCAACAAAGCTCTTTGCCTGTTTTGAAAACAGCGGCCATTCCAGACGATATCAGCTGTCCATTTGGAACCGTGAAAAGAGAACATGGAAATAAGTATCCATCTTCTGAGGGTTCTTATGGTACACTTATCCACAAGCTTGTGGAACCCCACATTGCCTCCTTCAATGCGATCACAGATCAATCGCTTTTGGAAAACGGCGTCAAAAATCTAGAAATGCGCGTCATTTATGACGCTTCCAAAACCCATTATCTCAAAATGTGGATAGAGGATGTTCAGCTTGGAAAGCCGATGCTACCAGAAAAAGAGACCTTCTCTCTCGATCGAGGCCTATATCCGAGCGAGTGCCGCCAACGAGGAATCACTTATGAGGCAAAGCTTATGGCCAAAATATGCTTCCAAATGGATGATGATGGCCCGATACACTTTTATACCCGCCATTTGGGCGATTTTCCTATCATGGTTCGTTCAAATCGTTGCCATTTGGAAGGCCTCTCTCCGGTGGATCTCATTGCTCGGCATGAGGAGAGTGAAGAAATGGGCGGCTATTTTATTGTAAATGGGATTGAGCGTCTGATTAGGCTGCTTGTTGTAACAAGACGCAATTATCCTCTTGCAGTGGTCAGATCGTCCTTTTTGAAAAAAGGACCGTCCTATACGCATTTTGGCGTGCTCATCAGATGTGTACGGGACGACACAACCTCGCAAACGATCACCCTTCATTATCTTTCCGATGTCGGCATCACAGTTAGATTTTCACACCTCAAACAGGAATACCTGGTTCCAGTGCTGCTTATATTGCGGGCGCTGGCTCCACTCTCTGATAAGCAGATTTTTGAGGGAGTCGTTCAAGGTGATTTTGATGATACTACCCTTGTCGGGCAGATGGAGGCTCTGTTAAGAGCGCACCGGACCACCAATCTCTACTCGCAAGACTCGTGCTTACAATATCTTGGTGCTCGCTTTCAGGCTGTTTTCAGATATGATGATCGCTTGAGTGAGCGGGAAATCGGTGAACTCGTTATTCGTCGTATGCTCTTTGTGCATTTGGAGGATGGTAGAGAAAAGGTTTCTCTGCTGCTTTTGATGATCCGAAAGCTTCTGGCTCTGGTTGGAAATAAAATCATTCCAGATAACCCCGATTCTCTTATGAACCACGAAATCCTACTTCCCGGCCATCTTCTCGCTTCATATTTGAAAGAAAAGCTCGATGAACTTTTAGGTTCCGCTCGCACGGTCCTTCTTCAAGACCAACAGCGGGGAGCATCTTGGTCCTCTGACGCCTTTTCTCCGGAAAGCCCTACTTCTGCCACCGATAAGTTCTGCCGTCGTCTTTTTTCCAAATTGAATTTGGACATCGGGAAAAAAATTCGCTACTTTCTGGGAACCGGTAATATGCCTTCTTCTGGAGGAATGGACCTTCAACAAGTCACTGGATATACGGTGGTTGCTGAGCGTTTAAACTACCTCCGCTATTTGTCTCATTTCCGAAGTGTTCATCGAGGCTCTTTTTTTGCGACCCTCAAAACCACAACGGTTCGAAAACTGCTTCCTGAATCTTGGGGTTTCTTGTGCCCAGTACATACACCTGACGGTGCTCCATGCGGTTTGCTGAACCATCTCACCCACACCTGCTCCATCGTTAGTGGGGATGGAGAAGAAAATAACCCAACAGATCGTGTTCGTGCCATTGCCTCCGTGCTTGTTGGCTTGGGTGTCACTCAGCTTGAAGCCGGTGCTGCTTTTCTCCCAAAATCTTATGGAGCCCATTGTGTCTTGCTGGATGGATGTCTTATTGGCTATGCTTCGTTTTCTCAGCTTACCACAATGGTGAGCCAGCTTCGCCAAATGAAAGGAAATGGTATCGTTCCCGCTCACATGGAAATTGTACTGATCTTACAGGCGCCTAAAAAAGGCCTCTTTCCAGGGCTCTTTCTGTTCACCACGCCATCTCGTCTTATGAGGCCCGTTTATCGCATCGAGGGAGCGGATTTGAAGAAAAAGGAAGCTCACAAATTGGAGCTTATTGGCACTTTTGAGCAAGTGTTTCTCAATATTGCTCTTCAAGGGGAAGAATATGGATCCGGTGATCCATCAACAGGGCTTCCAGCGACGCTTGCAGCAGCGGTGTTACCTACTCACGTCGAGGGGGTACCTACAAACATCCTTTCAGTGGTGGCCAATTTAACCCCATTTTGCGACTTTAACCAATCGCCGCGTAACATGTATCAGTGCCAGATGGCAAAGCAATCCATGGGAACCCCTCTGCACGCATTTCCTTTTCGCTCAGATAGCAAGCTTTATCGGCTGCAATCCGGGCAATCACCGGTCGTTAGACCCTCCCTTTTCAACACCTACCAAATGGATAGCCACCCAAATGGTGCAAATGCTGTAGTTGCCGTGATTTCTTATACAGGCTATGATATGGAAGATGCAATGATCATCAACAAGAGCTCATTTGAGCGCGGTTTTGGGAATGGCTCCATTTACAAGAGCGAGCTTATCGATTTAAAAGATCACATCTCGGCTGATGACGACGGCTCGTCTCTTCGGATCTTTGCCTGCACCGATATGGATCTCATAAATGGCGGCCTATTAGACCACGACGGGTTTCCTCCAGTGGGGCGGCTTTTACGGCCAGGCGATCCCTTTTGTTCTACTGCTCTTTTAGCCCACAGTACGTCGGAAGACCCGAACTCTGAAATGGGGATTAGTGATGAAAATGTGATTCGGTGGAAAGCAGCAGGCCTTGAAGAAGCATATGTCGAAAGTGTGCGCCTGATGGGCGATGCCGCCGGTCTTGGGCCTGCTCGAAGAGCTCTCATAGTGCTTCGTATTCCGCGGCCCCCGGTGATTGGCGACAAATTCTCTTCGCGCCACGGCCAGAAAGGTGTTTGCTCCCAAAAATGGCCTCTCATTGATATGCCTTTCAGTGAACATGGACTCACTCCCGACATCATCATTAACCCCCACGCCTTCCCCTCTCGTATGACGATTGGAATGTTCGTGGAAAGTATGGCTGGCAAAGCTGGCTGTCTTCATGGCACTTCCCAAGATGCCACGCCATTTCGTCTTACAGGCGTGGCCGTAGAGTGTTTTGGAGATGCCTTAAAAAAAGCCGGCTTTTCATACTATGGCAATGAACCGATGTATTCTGGCGTTTTCGGTAACGAACTTGCCGCAGACATTTTTATTGGCGTTGTATATTACCAGCGCTTGAGACACATGGTGTCGGATAAGTTTCAAGTGCGCACTACAGGTCCCGTTCATAATCTCACCCGGCAGCCCATCAAGGGGCGGAAGCGTGCCGGTGGTATCCGATTTGGAGAGATGGAGCGAGATTCGCTTCTTGCGAATGGCACTGCTTTTCTGCTACATGATCGTCTGATGAACTGCTCAGACTATACCCAAATGCACGCTTGTGTCAAATGCGGCGATATTCTCTCCATCCTTGCGCCTTCGCGCAAATCACATGGCCACGAATTCAATCTCAAATGTACGGGATGCGGTGCAAGTGGTGCCTCCAATATTGTAGTCGTTGCCTTGCCCTATGTATATCGATACCTTGTCAGTGAACTCATGGTAATGAATGTCCGATTGAAGATGGACCTGACTTCTGCCTGCTAACTTATTTCTATTTAATGAACCGCCATTGGTCAGTAAACAATTTCGTTTTGTAATTTACCGGCGACAGCTTAATTTAGTTGGCACAAATTGCCTTTGCAATGCTGCAATTTAAATGCTCAAAATGCCAATATATGCATGCTGGACAGGGGGCCGCATCAGCCTAGATGCAAACGAAATTTGCTTCATTTAAAAACGGCCCATGCTCAACTCAATTTTCAATTTTAGTGATAACTTTTGCCGCGTCATAAATAGCTGCGCTTGGCTGGCCACAAAATACCACAATACAAGGCGGCTCATTGGGATGCTACAAGAACGGCAAGCTGCTCAAAAGACAGCAGCCCGGTGCCCAGCTTTCTAACAGAGGATATCTCATCATCAGACGACCGTGTTAAAAAAAGCTGTGCATCAGATATAGACTCCTCCTCGATCGTAGGATCGGCAGCAAGAATGTTGTTTACCTGAAGCGTCAAAAGCAAAAGCTTACCATGATGGTGTATTTGAGGCTCGGAAATGCCGGTATCGAAAGTGGGACCAAATCCTCGGGGTAAATGCCGCCAACATCGCTAATGCTCTTGGGAAGGCGCGTGGATGAAAGAGCGGCGGCAAGCGAGTCGAAAGCTGCTTCGAAAATATTCCCTGCATCGTTGAGAACCTGATGGGGAAAAGATCGCATACGTACCATGACATCTGCATTCAAGTGCCAGTATCCAGTGGAGCTTCCCACTTGGAATTCCCGCATGGAGGCATAAGCCGATGTGAGGAGCTCTTGCAGAAGCGCACATTTTGCTGCTATTGTCTCGGGCTGGAAAATTTTGGCCGATGGTGCGCTAATGATAACACCAACACAAACTTACTAGTCTACCAGGAATTGGATCGGCGTTGGCTGTTCGCAAAATTTGGCCTGTATGGCGATCAGAATGCTTGTCCCATCAATGGTAATCGAGGCAGAGCCCGGTGTGTGTTTGAGGGTATTGACGGAAATCATGGATTGCCGCTTTTGCATCAGAGAACGCCCGTCGACGCGCACCCCCGAGACAAACCCGGACCGGTAATAGCAGATTTCTGAAAGCGAGAGGGGCAACGACATTTATTACGTGAAACTGCAATTAAAAATTAATTTTACCGGCTTTTAGTATTTATTGGGAACATGTCCGATAATGAGGTCGATATGCATGGCTTTCACGAGGACGAAGAGCCCATCATGGACGAGGAAGAAGAACCGACACACGAAAGCGAGCAAATGTTTCGCGACGAATCAAAGGAGTCTGGATTCGAAGCATCGCTGCTTGCAACAGACCCGACCGCATCTACCCATTTGATAGAGCTGCCGGCATCCACAGCCTCATCTTCCTCGTTTACCGGCTATACGACCACATTGCTTCCAATTGAAAAGCGCATAACGACCAGGTACATGACCAAGTATGAGCGAGCTCGGCTCCTCGGTACACGAGCTCTGCAGCTCAGGTGCGATCCAATCTCATTTATTCCTAGTATGAATGCACCGCCGATGGTCGAGCTTGAAGGAGAGACAGACCCGCTACAAATCGCAATGAAGGAGCTTCGAGAACGAAAGATCCCGTTTCTGATCCGGCGATACCTTCCCGACCGTTCGTACGAAGACTGGGCCGTGGACGAGCTGCTGATGGATTTTTAATACACAATGCCGATGCTCGTCTATGTGACCAAATTATTGTGTTGTAGGTCTCTTTCTCTATTAATTATTTGTTGGCCAGCTAGTTGGCATGCATCCCCTGCTCGGGAGCCATTATGTGGGGGCCGAGGCCCTTGCATAGTCTTCGTTCCAGTGTAGACGGGCCGAAAGCGAGTCAAACCATTCAATTGTCTGGGTAGAAGTTGAGTTGCTCGGTGCCGTAAGTAGAGGTAGCGGCCACGAAGAGCGGCCAATTATAATTCTATCCCCTTTCCTTAGCTCAATTCTACTGCGCCCATCAAATGAGACCTAAAATAAGGAAATCCCGCTTTACCCAGGCGCTTTCGGAGCGGCAATTTTCGGCCAGCGAGATGGAAAGTATCTCCTCCAATGGCAGAACAATTGGGCGGAACGAAAGAGAATGGGCACAGATGGGCGTGAGAAGCATTGCTTTGAGCGTGGGATGAATGATCGGGCCTCCAGCAGACATCTATGGCCGTTAGAAAGTCTCGTGTACAGAATAGGCAGTCGATCCTGTGGGCGTGGCCACTATCACACCATCGGCAGATATTATCGACAACAAACGGTAAAAAGGCTCCTCTGCGTCACACGAGGTCGCCGCTCGATTGAAAGATGCCTCTGTCATGCGAGATGCAGCATGCAACTCCAGCTTCAGTAGGCCGCCATAGGCGCCTTTATCGACCACACATTCATTAAGGACATGAAAAAGACGGGAACAATCGCCAGTTCGATAGATAATCTTGCAGCACAGGCGCATTCGCTCCGAAATAGATGGCAGGTTTAAAGGGACCTTTAAAAGCAATTCAAATGTCGACGAAAGGTCCCATAGTGTTAGGAAGCCGAGCGTACCTCGGAGGAAAATCGGTAGGATCGGTGGTATAGGCGGACCTTGGAATTGCCACGCGGCATTTAAAACTGTACCATCGCCGCCGATGGCGAGCACAAGATCCAGGTTTTGTAACTGCTCGCAACCAGGATCCCATGTCTCTAAATGAATATTGTGGCAGGACGAGGGTGCAATGCAAAACGAAGTGGGCACATACGCCACCAGAGAAGTATATGTGATGATGCTGTCGAGCTGCAAAATAAACTCTGTGCTCATTCTGATCGTTTCTGCATCGTCCTTACACATGATGAGAATGTTCATCTTGCATGCAAGAAAGCACAAATCACCAAGATTTGATGCGAACCCCAATTAGGGTTAGGAGTCTGGAAATAACCCGAAAATTTAGTTGCTGTTATTTGTAAATTAATAAACGCACAAATCTGACTTGTAATTTAATAAATTTCTACATGAGCCAGATGTCCATGGCCACAGGCAATGCTGGTGAGCAGAAGCGCTCGTCCATTCTGCAAAAGCTGCAGGAGATGCATGTGGCATCTACTGATGCAGAGATGCTCACAGAATATATCCTTGTTCTTATTGCTTCCAGAAAATCATCGCAAGAGATGACTGCAGAGCTAGCGGTATTTTTGGAGGGCGGGAACAGCGCTGCAGAAAAGCTGGTTTCGTGGCTAACACCGGCTGGGCAGTCTATGGACATGGAGCAGGGAATCTCAGATGGTGCGATTCAGAGCCGAGTAGAGGGCACTTCCAATAAGCAGCCAGGGGAATTTTCTCAAAAGGATCACTCAAACTATCACCATCGCGAACGAAATCGCAGTGATCGTAGGGAAGGCTCTCGCGAAAAGGCATATCGTCGCAGAGAATCGCCTCCGGAGCGATACAGAGGCAGATGGGATGGTCCAACAGAAAGACTTCGTTCCCGGTCCAAAAATGTCTCGTTCACTGTTTCTTTGGATAACGGCCCCTCTTCATCCTCCTCCGCCCCTTATCGTCGTTCTTCACATGCAAGACAACGCAGCCGATCTATTGATCGGCACGAAGATACACGGCGAATTCGACGAGACCAGTCCCTGCCGAAATCGAAAAAGTTTTCCGTCATCTCCGATGAAACCGCCGAAGCCGACAGTTGTTCTGCGACTCTTTTCAAGAAATCGATTCCTTGTCTCTATTATCCAAAGTGCAACCTTGGGGACGCGTGCCCCTATTCCCATGATGACTCCCTCGCCAAAAAAAGAGAGGACGGCACATCTGCCGATCCATCTGTTCAAATAAAGTCCGCAATGCCATGCAGATTTGATCATCTTTGCAAGAACGTCGCCTGTCCATATGTGCATTCATCGCCGGCGGCGCTGAGTGTTTCCACGCGAGGCCAATCTGGAGCATCTACAGAAATCTGCCGGTACTATCCGTGGTGTGGCCGCGGCGACGCCTGTGCATATGCCCACCCAGCTATTCCGACAATACCTACGCCACATCATCCCTTGACCCCTCAAAACAGACCCGCCGTGCCCTGTAGGTATGGTCCTATTTGTGCCCGAGTTGATTGCATTTTTCTGCACCCCACTTCGGATGCCCCGTCAACACCGTGCCGCTTTGGATCTGTTTGTGCTCGGCCCTTTTGCATGCAACGACACGATGATGCAATGCCCCCCTCTTCGGCTCCCCTGATTTCAATGGATACCATTGATAAGAAGCAGGCACCGTCTGGAGAGAGATTTTCTTCTGCCAGCCAAGTAACAATGACATCGCCTCCGGGCTCGCCATTTCTCTTGGCCCTCTCAGATGGCGGTGAATTATGAAATAAATAAGATGACAAGCAAACAGGGCATTTTGGCCGCTCATGTTGCTTGACATGGCCTTTGGCCGCTCATGTTGCTTGACATGGCTTTTGAGCAATTTTTTTGCCTCAAACGGACGTTTCGCAATCAAAGGGTAACGTTGGACTGCAAACGTAAACAGGGAAGCATTTATGGCATCTACAGAAACAATGTTGCTTGCGCTCAAAATACAGCCCTACTAAATGGCACTTTTTCGCTCAGGTGCCTTAATTGGTGTAAATTACTGGGGGATTGCAATACCACGCGAATTTCATGAATTAATGGCACGCATGCCGTTCGTTGTCCATTAATACGAGTGTCCTGAGAAATTGAGACAAAATACCCTCAACTTTTAATGTCGCAAAGCCTGCCGATCACTCAAAGTTGACTCGCACAAGGTAGGCGTTGCCCTCCATTCAAAACTCGCTCGCCGTCGTGGCCTGATCATCAAAATGGACTTTAAAATCCAATTGCCCTCAAGGTGATTGATTAAAATGTGGATTTCAAAAATAATTTATGAATGCAGATCAGTCGATGGCGTACCATGTCCTTATTAAGGTAGATAGCATGGCCGCTCAGCTAATAACCGTAGATCCAATGTGAAACGTATAGAGCACTGATACGATCGCATCAAAGGGATACGGAAAGGGAATTGTCCTCCATTCAAAGAACTCTCGCCAAAAATTACGAAATCGCCGAGATGCGCGAAAAGCTATCAACCCTACTTGAGAATGTAAGATCTGGCCCGACCCTATCATATAGCTGCATAAGGAGCGAAAAATAGAGGAAAAGCTAGAAAAAACTCTGCTTTCTATTTTCGCATCAGAATTGCCCACGGACCACTCGCTTCTCATCCTCGACTTTTTATTGCGAAATGGCTGCATCGAAAGTGCTATGCAATACTTCCCCTCTCTTTCAAGAGACAGTATATCGATAATATCGTCCTTTTGGGTGGCGCTGGATGAAATCGTCCACAAGGATATGGAGGCGGACCATTCGCTAACCACTGCAATTGCTTGGATCGAAAGAGCTAAAAAGGGCTCATTCAAATTGCCAGTATGAGCATCCAATTACTTACCATGCCAGGAAGGAATCGAGCTCTTGCTACGAATAGAAGAGTTTCGCAAGATCGAGGATAAGCTGCAAGCCCTGGAATATGCCCAGCTATATTTCCCAGCTCTTGGCACAGATTCGCCGATGCTGTCAACTGCGATTCGCAAAGCGATGACTTTGCTAGCCTGCCCAGAAAAACCCCCAAGTGAAACCCAAACACGTGAAAAGTGGAAGGTCCTCGGCGCTCTTTTCAAGGCAGCTGCCTGTCAGTGCTTCGGGACACTGCCATTGAGATCGATCCTACAGATATATTTAGAAGCGGGCCTGGCCATCCTAAAGACGCCTCAATGCCGGCCAGATGCTGCTGTTAAGCGCTGCCCATTATGTACAGAACCAGATCTATTCAAGTTGGCCGATTGTCTCCCTTTGAGCAGAAACGACTCGTCACAAGTCATTTGCCGTATCTCCGGAGAAATAATCTCTGGTGGCGGCCTCTCCAATGCAATTGCCCTCCCAAACGGGCAGGTTTTCTCCGAAAGGGCAATCGGAGTGCCAGATGCTGATGGGTTTATTACCTGTCCGCTGACGGGGGAAAAATTTAATCGAGACCGCATTCAAAAGATCTATTTTTTGTAACGTTTACAAAGTTCATAAGCAACTCTGCTCCCTTGTAATGCACTTGGCACAAATAAAAGGCTTCTAGTAATGCGACCATAAGTCCACTAATGCGGCGGGTCTAAAAATATCAGCTTCGAGAAAGTTTTTCGTCATATTTTCGGTTCAGTGCATCTAGCACTGTGCGCAAGGCACCAGTAATCACGGGCATGTTAGAAAATTCTTCTGGAAGCAGCAGTTTCCAGCCGGTGTACCTAGTGATAAATAAACCCAACAAACCATCCAAAAATATCATCGGCAGCCGATGTTCTCAAGTCTTCCACAGTGCAAGAGCGCATCCATGCTGCTGCATATGAAGAAAGAAGGGGGAAAAGACCATTTGCAAGTACGCCTGCCATCAGATCCAACGAAACAACATCAGAAGCCTCAATCACCGTCTCGAGTGCATCGAGCTCCTGCTCTTCCGGGTCAATCTTGAGGTTCTTCAATAGGAAGCTTGAGAGTCTTTCTGCAAGAAAATGCTCTGCACTGGCCGGAATACGACCAATCCCTCGCAATACAGTAAGGATCTCTTCAAGCTGTTTTGCAGAGTCAAAAGGAGAGGAAAGAAGACACTCACAAAGACAAATCAACGTCTTTTCACTGTTCAGGAATGGAAGCCAGGGCTGCACAACCTCATCAATAAAATCTGAGCCAACCTCCTTCAATTGTGGAATCACAACCGTTTCCATGATATTTTCTACAATCTCCCAGGGAAGCACCTCAAGCCACCAAACAATGGGGCTATGGACTTCTCGAAGGCTGGCAGACCTAATATAAATTTTAATTGCAGGCAACAGCAGTCCCAAGATAAAATATTGCGAAATAAATGGACCTGAGATGCGATCGCCAATCACATTTTCCATCTGCAAGTATACTGGCAGAAGTTTCCGTGTAAAGACGGCTGGAAAATATATATTTGTTTCCATCAACGATCCCTTCCGGTGCAATGGGATCAGCAGTGAACTGAGGATGTTGTTAGTCGCAGACAAAACTGAGGCTGCCTTGCTTTCTGCATCATTGATGGCCCTGTGTAGCTCTCCGGAAACTTTATCTTCTAGTTTGGAGGTGATGGTGGCACGGCTTTTTTCTTCCATTTGGATGTAGAAAAGCTTTACTTTTTCAATAATGTGGGATTGGAAAATTTCTTGTAACCATATATGTGGTTCGTCCAGCTTTTCAGAAAGCTTTTGTTTGATCATAGAAATTGCAGACGAAAGAGAGCGTGTTAACTCATCCAATGCCTCGTAAATTGGGACTTGTATTTCAATCGAATCTCGTTCGGTTTTCATTAAAAACAACCATCTTTCCTCCACTTCTAGGACTTTTTTCAGGCCTGAATCTGAAGAGGAAACCACATGCTCCATACCAACCGGCGGCATCATCATTTCTCGCGCATCCCCCAAGATAGATGAGAGAGGCTCTACCTTTGTTTGAATCAGATCAACTTTCTTTTTCTGAATTCTAGCATGCTCTTTTAGCGATTGGGGGTTCTTTTTATGCTGTAAAGAGCCGTCTAGGGAGGAGGAAGCTTTTCCCAGATCAATGGAAGCGTTAGTTTCTTCCTTATAATATCCGAGGCCTGCCTGCTTTGGTCTTAAATCTCCATGGGACAAAGGAACAGCAATGCCGTGCTTTTTTCCAACTCCTTCACCCTGGGAAAAGCCCATTTGCTTTAACAGTTTATATCCCATTCCATAGGATGAGGCCAAGTTATTGGGGGGGTCAGAAGACATTGACACTTGAAAGTTTTAAAATTAAAAAGATAGAACCTACAGCACGCAGTATTCCCATGCGGTCACCCATCATAGTACTGACTGCGCCAGCACTGGCTTGACTTCGGGGATCGGACGAGACCCGGTGTTTTCCAGTGTGTATGGCCGTAGATATTGGACCGGCAAAATAATCTAATATATATTTATATTACAATTATTACAAACAGAACCAAGTAATCGAATGCGATACAAGATTGTCCAATTTCAATTTATTATGAAAGATCCTTTTTACGCCATAAAATTTCTAGCAATTTAATATTGATGCAAGGTGACTGATGGCTTCAATCATTTCTTCAGCAAATAAATAAAGAGCTAGCACGTCAACAGCAGATAAATCCTGTGAATTGATTTAACACATGGAACTGAGGACATCCGCCATTTCCTCTGAAAAGATAGAAAAGTCGTTGTCAGAAAGCACAAGATTGTAGTTTAAATCATTCTCATACATTGGAGATGCGGGGATAAGAACCTTTGGCATTCCTTGTCGAGGTGTGGATTCTACACTATCTTGAGGCTGGAGAGCATCTGACACAAAGGGCATCGAATCAAGCTCTTGCAGCCGATTATTACTGTGAGAGCCGCTCAAAAACCTCTTGATCCCTCTACGAGGGAGATCTTCCTGGGATAAAGGTAAATGATTTGCATGGGTGTGTCTCTTATTTGATGACAAGGACTGCGTGAGACGACTTATCTCTGCCTTGGCGTCCTCCAATCGAGCATTCATGGAGGCCGAGCGAGAAAGTTCTTCTTGAAGACTCAGATTTAGCGATTGGACGTACTGGAGCTTTGACTTTAAAGCAATATGGGACTCGTTATTTTCCAAAGAGGAGATTTTAGTTTTCAGCTCCCTGATTTCCGATTCCCTTTTTTGCAGAATTTGGAAGGTGTTCATTAATAATTTTGTGGTGTTCTCTCTTGTCCGCAGACGAGATTCGAGATTACAGACGATAGTTTTGAGCTTCTCGTTCTCAACCAACAGTTCATCTTGATTATGTGCCCGCTTTAAGCAGCTTGAACAATCAACCTTAATGTTCGGAGGGTTCAAACAAGCATCCATAAATAACAAAAAAAGCAAAGTCAAAAGTAATTTCTAGACCAGTTAATTTGAAATTTATTTAAAAAATTGCTAAAATTATGTGACGACCCGATAGATGGGGCTGGCGCGGTGTTTGCCATCACATAGTCATTAATCGATTACTCTACTTGGACGATGAAAGAAATACTGATATGCAGCTGGATTTGTGAGATCACAGGTGATCTTCATACGTGCATCTTGGATTATAATGAGAGCCTTCACGGAAAGCATATATGTTTCAATCAGGTGGGGGCTAGCCAGTCTAAATATAACGGTTTCTCCGCCTTTATCGGAGCGGTCTTGAGAGGCCCCAAATCTAAGGATAACTTCTGGTTGGTTTTCGTTGTTTGCAATGACGTTGATTGTGTAATTCATCGGAGGATCTGCCGAAATAAATCAAATTAATTACCTGGCGGATCCCTGACAAGACGCACGGTGCGATATATCTTTTGGAGGGGAATGTTAAAATCTAAGGGTTACAGGGAACAGCAGGGCATACTGGAGCGGTAATTGCTGATTTCCGAATTTCCGGTTCTGGAATCAAGCCCAGAAAAGGTCTCCAAATTGCGAATATATTTTATCTTGCGAAGGTTTTCAATGATCGAGTAGTGTCCAAATCTATGCATCAGAGGATGAAATTTACAGCGAGACGGTCGGTAAGCCAAATAGCCGTTGATCTAAGGCAGATGTGGATTGGTGGCCTTGGTCAAATTGGGATAATAGCCCATTTGAATTTTCCGACAAAACCGAGTCCGAAATTGATTTGGAGAGTGCTGAGCCTGATGTTAAAAGAGCTCCAGTGCTCTTCTGATTGGCTTCATATTGTCGAAACTTCTTAGCACGTACAGATGGTTCATCTCTGAGGATCTTGTATTTTCCTCCTTGTAATCTGATAAAGTTGATGATTTGAAAGACGCCCGGGGATGGATCAAGGCAAAGGGTCAATGAGGTAGTGTTCTATCAATAAGATGGGAAACCAAAAAGCGAAAAAAGAACACGCATATATGCGAGAAAAATCAATCGAAATGAGATAATAAGCGGTACCCTTATGCCCTTTTCTAGCTCAATATACTGTTCATCTGACCAAAGACCTTCTCCCAACGTTGAATCCAAATACATCTGGATATCTGCAGCAATGGAAGCCTCATTTGGCCTTAACAATACTCGATGTATTTCCGGGTGGTCTGAGAGGAGAGATTTTCCACCGCTGCAAAATGGCGCTTGGCTGGCTCCATTTGACAGCAAAGACGCCATTCGATAATCGTGGATTTCTATTACAATCGATCCATCATAAAATGGAACTTGCCTGTCTCTGATAATTGGAAGCAGGGAGGGATGAAGGTGACCATTATCAATCCACTCTAAAAATTCCTAAAATAAGAAAGCCACAGCACCTGGCTTTCGTAACTTGAAAGCAATAGGGGCGCCTCGCATCCATCAATTAAAATGGCAAAGGGATACAATCGCAATACAAAGGCCGGGAAAATATCCTTGAACTTATCAAGAAAGTGAAAATGCCCATGAGAAAATTTCTTATCAAATAAAAAAGAAAATACGGGTTACTATGCTTATAGTCTTTGAATCGATGTTCAATAAATCTGCTTTTAAGAGGTAGCTTATTGGGTAAGATATGCTTCTCCTACAAGATAATCAAAATACACCTGCATACAAGTTGAGGAGTTGCATTCGAGGTTTCAACGAAATGCGGTGGAATATCTTTGCGCTTTTTGATAAGGTCAGGATACATCGCGTTAAGAGCATCAATGGCATACATCACATTTGGGGTTGAGTGATCGATAACGGGAACTTGTTGTTTCAAAATATCGTCATCGTCAAATTCCTCAGTATTGTCAATGAGCTGGTTAAAAGAACACTGCGAAAACGATGATATTTGCTGAGAGGGGATTTGGGAACGTAAATATCGATGAAGAAGGCGCTTTGAATGTGGCTTTTTTGTTGAAGATGCCATGGTAGCGCCCCTAAAATGTTTACAAATGGGCTCACATTACAAATTGGACTCGAAATTTCTATTTAAAAAATGGAGAACCTGGGAATCGAACCCAGTGCCTAACGCATGCGAAGCGCTCGCTCTACCATTTGAGCTAGTTCCCCAATTAGAATTCTCGACACAAGGAATATAAAATTTATATGCTAGTAATTGATAATTTGATTATTTTCAAATCCGATTTCTGTTGCCCAACTAATTTATATTGATTATGGAGGAGATCATTCTTGGAATTAATTACCAAGTAGATCAAGGTATGGTTTAGTGGTCTGATGTTTTAGATAAATGTACGCAATTTCTCGAAAGATTTTCTTATGAGGAAATTCCATCTTCTTTTGTTCCAAATGAAAATCAAAGTGAAAATGACAATTCTGAATCTTTGAAAAACGGTAGCGTAAAATATAAATACCTTGAATGGATTGTAAGAGGATTTTGGAGTTACCTTAGAATGAAATTGCCATGGGATCTCGTACTACGATATCGATATATCTTGATGACATATTATCTGTACGTCGTTATTATGTTGTAATTTTTTAGATGGAAGAGTTGGGCACTGATTTTGCTACGAGGATCCAGAAAAACACCTATAGATATATTGAGCTTTTTATGAAGTCCATTGATATGCTTCTTCCGCTTTCAAATCCACATGTACGTCGTTATGGTTGCTAATTCTGGTTCAGGATATGGCAATTTCCTCGGATCCGGCAGTTGCAATGCTCGGTCATCGGCTTTTGAGATTACAAGCAAAGGAATCGGCCCCTTTGTCGCTTCTCTCATTTCCTGCACCTGCTCAGCAGGAAGGCGAGCTAAACATCCTATCCACGCCGCAAAAGCTGCCCATCCCGCCCTCGCTAATGCGCAGATAGTAAGCAACGAAAGATCTTTTTTAGCGTTGTCAATATAATCCCAGCCTCCAGTGTCAAGGCAATCTCTGTGCGTCAAGTCAAGTCAATACACCTTGGCTCTCTTGTCCGTCTGCGCGGCGTTGTTGTCCGAATTACGGAGGTCAAACCCCTGATGAACGTTTGCACGTTTCTTTGCGACCGATGTGGCTTTGAAATTTATCAAGAAGTTTGAGCCATCTTTCATTTCGTAGGTTACTTCAAACATTTTCACTCCGCTGGTTGAATGTCCTTCACAAGCTTGTAAGCTCAATAACACTCGAGGGGAATTATTTATGGAATCGCGTGGATCCAAGTTTTTGAAGTTTCAGGAGCTCAAGCTGCAGGAAATGGTGTCACATGGCGATCAAAATTAACCTTTAGACTGACCAAGTTCCGATTGGACACATTCCTCGATCGATAAGCGTATACCTATATGAGGATCTCACCAGGGTCGCTAGTCCTGGTGACGAGGTCATTTTGACTGGCATTTTCCTTCCTCGTGCATATACCGGATATCAGGCAATACGTGCAGGTTTGCTGACAGACACTTTTGTGCATGCAATGAGTGTCGAGCTCATGATTAAGAAATACAGCCAATTGGTTTTGGACCCAAAAGTGCTGGTACAAGTTGTGGCCTTGAGTAAAGAGCCCAATGTGTATTCTAAACTGGCTCGATCAATTGCACCAGAAATCTACGGGCATGAGGATGTCAAAAAGGCGCTTCTTCTAATGATGGCTGGCGGTGTCACAAAAGAAACCGCAGACGGATTGCGGATCAGAGGTAACGTTCATTTGAGGGTTCGATAATCTTAGGGGATATGAACATATGTTTAATGGGCGATCCTGGGGTTGCCAAATCCCAGCTGCTGAAATACATTTCTCGCATTGCTCCCAGAGGGGTTTACACTACTGGAAAAGGTAGTAGTGGCGTTGGATTAACCGCTGCCGTGGTGAAGGATCCGCTTACCAACGAGATGGTGTTGGGTAAGTTTGAAACAGCGTCTCTAATAACCAATAGAGGGCGGTGCCTTAGTGCTCGCCGACAACGGCATATGTTGCATCGATGAATTTGACAAGATGGAGGAGTCTGACAGGACTGCAATCCACGAAGTAATGGAGCAACAAACAATTTCCATCTCAAAAGCCGGCATCACCACAACATTAAATGCCAGAACTTGTATTCTTGCTGCAGCAAATCCGCTCCATGGACGTTACAATATACGTCGGTCGCCAAACGAGAATATAAACCTTCCATATGCGCTTCTTTCTCGCTTCGATATTCTGTTCTTGCTCCTGGACCGTCCAAACGTTGAAGAGGATGCTCGGCTAGCCAGCCATATTTTGAATGTCCACAGGACCGGATCCGTTTCATGCAATGAGGAAGGGGTGGATCCGTCCACCTTTTTCGTATCTCCAGACGTTCTAAGGTATTATTCTTTTGGTCTTTTCTTCAGACAATATATCGCCTATGCCCGTCGGTTTAATCCAGTGCTTCCAAAATCGCTTGTAGAATATTTGACAGGAGTCTACGTCAGTCTAAGGACAACCGATGCAATGGGAAAGGATTTCTACACCACCCCAAGGACGCTTACTGGCGTTATTCGCATGTCACAAGCATTGGTGGATTTTCTGTTGTAACAATTAGGCCCGTCTTCGCTTTAGCACAGAGATAGCCCAGGCCGATATTGACGAGGCCCTTCGTATATTGGACTCTTCACGTTCCTCCATCTATCTGACCGAATCTCAATCGATAGGGTACTTTTTTTATATAATGGTAGACAACGTTATCCTGCCGATCCAATATCCAAGATCTATGCTATCATTCGCGATTTGGCCAAGGCCATCCAGACAGAATACAATTCAGGGGCACCCATCCAGCTCCCCATCGATATCATAAGAGAGTCAATTCAATCGGCTGGATATTCGGAGACCCAGTTGCAGAGCTGTCTGAGTATGTTTGATCGGGCCTCGGTCTGGTCTCTTTCGGAAAACGGCCAACGGCTTGTGATTTTGAACTAGCCCATAAATAATCAGAACACGCCAAATTTTACAAATCCAATGCCAACATTAGTGCACTTCCGAGCATTTTACCAAAAAGTTTATTTAAATTTCGCTGTTTAACCAAAATTTGGGTCTTCACGTGGTGTTACCAGAGACCGTTGTTTTCAAAAATGGAGAAGACAAAAGATTCTTAATCCTCTCCGAGATAACCGTTTTTATTTGGTTGCGTTCATCTGTCGCCCTTCCGAATAGGGATGAATTCTCTTGTGCTCTTCGAAGTAGATACGGCAACACTTCTTCTACAGTACCCACAGGCACATATTTATAAGGAATTGCCAAATCGGAATTTGCAATAGAAAATGTTAAATGATCGGCCATTCCAAGGAGCTGGCCAATCATTACTTTATTTCCTTGGGCTTCTGGATCAACCTGGGAAAGAATTTTTTCAATGCTCTCGACATTGTGGGTTGCAAAAAAGGCCGCCGTGCTTTCGCCATTATTTTGAATAGCATTCAAAAGCAGGTCGATGGCCGATC